TTAGTAGCCCGGGATAGGAGCCTGTCCTACTTCTATGCGCGTCCACCGGGTGGTGGGTGGTGGAAAGGCCTCTAGATATAGAGGTTAGCCACGAATATATTGAATAAGTGGCCGTGGACCAAAACAGGTGATGATCATTGAGAGGAGGCGAGTTTATAAAATACCTCAAAACTCTACGACATGGCCATCGGTGGGTAAAAGGCGCCATAACCTCTCCCCCCTGCTGTCTTGCAGGGAAGTCTCTTTAGACAAAAGCTGTTGGAGTCAAACCATATACAAACCGGCGGAAGTCAAGGGGAAACCACCACTGCATTCTCCCAAGAAAATCATGCCTCGAAACATAACTACTTCAGATAATGACGTGAATAGGGATTCCAGTGGAATCACCTCGTCCGGTAGGGAGCATCATGTTCAACGGGTGATACCTGACCGTCATCCGGCTACTGTAGAAAAAGTAAAAGGTAGAAACATTTTGAACATTGGTACATGGAATGACAGAACAACAACAACAACAACGGAAAGCTCGATAACATCAAGATGGAAATAAAGAGAATGAGCACCAACATATTAGAAATTAGTGAAATGCGATGGCCAGGAGCAGGGGAAAGTATTCAAATCAGCAAATAATTATTTACTCAGGTGGGAAGGGATATAGTAAGGGGGTTGGTATTATTTTGGATCCAAAGAACTCAAAAACTGTGAAAGGATTTTGGACAATGTCAAATAGAATACTATTAGTAAAACTTTACGGCAGACCGTTTGACATCAACTTAGTGCATATTTACGTCTCAACAGCCGATAGTTCAGCAAGAAGACATTGACGCATTTTATGACGAGTTAGACATGGCTGTTGATCAATGCAGAAATTATGAAGTAACTGGTACTTGGAGATTTCAGCGCGAAAATAAGAAGGGATAAAGTGTACGGAAACACAGGTGGCTATGGCCTAGGAGAAAAGAATATGAGAGATGACAGATTATAAGCATGGGCTGAGTCGCACAGCATGATAATAGGTAACACCATCCTCGAAGATTGTGGACTTGGAACAGTCCTGGCGATAATGTTTGCAATCAAATCGATTATATTTTGATTTCAAGAAGATTCAGGAGCAGCTTGGTTGGAGCAAAGGCTAGACCAGGGGCAAACTGCTTTAGTGAACATGTTTCAGTTACAGGAAAGATTGATTAAAATAAAACTGAAGAATATTAAGAAAACACCACTGAACATTATGTTAAATTTAGGAATACTTAGAACGGATAAAGAAATTAGGGAACATTACGATGTCACTGTACAAAACCAGTATAATGCAATAGAAATTATACAAACTATTGTCGAATAGTGGGATATGTTGCGCGAGTCAATTCAGCAGACACACACATACACAAAATCCCACCAACCCACAGAGTTGCAAAAAAAAAAAAAAATAAATAAATGGATGTCAACCAAAATTCTGCAGTTGATGAATGAAAGAAGGAAGAAAAATAATGATAAAGATGAATACTCTATAAAACAAAAAGAAATAGTGAACAAATGCAAAGTAGTTGAAGAAACCTGGCTGAATCAAATGTGTACAGAGGTTGGGGAAAATCACAGGAAAGACTCACATTCCATGTACCAACAGATATATATGTTAACAGGAAAGATGCCCCGTAACAGCACTGGATGTTTGAAATCAAAAGATGGCGACTTATTAATGGGACATAGTAATATAATTAACAGATGGACAGAGTATATAGGGGAATTGTATGATGATAATAGACCAGATGTAGAACTGCAGACCAACAATGATGGTCCACCAATAATGACTGCAAACGTTGAGGATGCATTGCATCATATGAAGAAAGGAAAACCACCCGGGCCAGACAACATCTCACTGGAAGAAAATTAAGCCCTGGGAGATTTTGGAATTGAATGTTGAATTAAGAATGGACATCACAGCACTCGGGACACTCCCATAAGAGGTCTGTCCACATCTTCAGCAGCAAGCGCAGAGTTAAAATTCCGATGGTACCAGTAACAGTCTGATTGTATATCCGTCTTCCCACTCCCCCGAGTGTCGAGCGTCGGCCAGATCCCCTTGTAACTCCTCGTAGTGCCTTTCTCCTCAGACCGTAATGATCTATCTGTTCCTCGGCACGGTTCACTCGCTCCCAAAGGGCCCTCAGAACATTCAGTTTGTGAAATATCAGTTCACTACCAAGTGGTGCAGAACCGGCCAGTCTTTCCGCCTGCTTATTTCCCAACACACCGGCGTAACCTGGATAAAATATCCAAAGGATGCCAACTACCCGGGACCTCTGAAGTGATGCCTGCCACTCTGCACGGAGCATGGCTATCTCCACCTTTCGCAGCATGCTCTGTGAGTCAGTTACAATGACGACAGGTGTGTACAGCTGATTCTCAAGCCACCTCCATTCTCAAACTAGACGTTGTGATATCATATGCCAGGCTTTGTTGAGCCAAGCGACGTCCATTCGCCTTCGCTATGAACCCCCAAGCACTTCGTCTGTCCCTCACCACAGAGCCATCTGTATATAAAGTCACATCACTTGGGCGGGAATTGTCATGAATCCTTTGTTGAACTTCTGGTTCTGCAGCACCAGCTGGCCAGTCCTTGCACTCACGCCGCAAAGTGATTAGAACCCCACACAAGTCTGAAACATGATCGGACACTTTGACACACTCCTCTTCTCGCCTAAATTTATCAAGCCTGCACACATGTCGAATTGTGTCTTCAGCTTGCGCCATCCAAGACTTTCCTCTTTTCAGTCTGTGACCTTAGCTCTATCAAGGACTTCATGCAGGAAGTGCCTCTTGTCCGCAGCTACTCTGAGATATGACTTTGCCTGCAGAACTTGGAGCCTATATGAAATAGTAGGCATTGCAAGTATATTTCGCATACATACAACCGAGGTATCTCTTGTACATCATAGAATCACCAGCATGGCTTCATTCTGTATGCGTTCAAGTTTCATCAGCTGACTCTTTGATATGGTAAGCATTCCAAGTCCATAATCTATCACCGACAAGATCACGTGCTGGAACATTGTGAGCAAAATTTTTTGTTCCATGTCCATTCCTGCCATTAATCTTGAGAGCATTGGGTCCTTTTTGGCATTTCACTGCAACTGCATACACACGATCCCTGAAGGACAGGCTTTTATCGAAAATGATATCCAGGTACCTCAGTTTGCTTTCTCTTTTGATGTTACTGTTATGAACTGTGAGGTTTGGAACACAAGCTTTTACAATTCTATTGTCCAGAGAACACCACAAAACAGCTGCTTTTTCTGAGTTGATAACAGCACCATTTTCGGCACACCAGTCAGTCACTTTGTCCACAGTTGCTGGTAGCTCGTGAGCTATCCGTCGCCTATCTCTCCCCTGCCTATATGCAAGAACAACATCGGCAAATGTCAATATTCTTCCAACACCTGGTGATTCAAGTTCTGCAATCTATTGTATCGAGCACAGTGCACGCACTCCGTAGCTCCGGCGATGATTCTTTGTATTTGGAATTGAAATAATAATTTAACTTTTAAATGATATTTATAACAGTAGGTATATTCCAAATGACCTTTTAAAATCCATATTTATAGCTCTGCCAAATAAACCAGGCACTTTAAAATGTGAAGACCATCGCACAATTATGAGTCACATGACTAAGATTTTACTGAGAATAATTATGAGAGTAATAAGAAATACAATTAAACCAGAAATCAGCGATGAACAATGTGGATTTGTAGAAGGAAAAGGTACAAACAATGCCATATACATCCTAAGGACATTGTCAGAAAGAGCTATAGAAGTAAAGACTGATTTGTACTTATGCTTCATAGACTATACAAAAGAGTTTGACTGTGTGAAACATGAAGAAGTAATCAAACTGTTAGAAAAATTAAACATTGATGGGAAAGATCTACAAATAATAAAGTTTAAGTATTGGCAGCAAGCAGCAGCTATAAGAACTAACAACTGTTTAGGTACATTTCAAAGCATAAAGATGGGCGTACGGCAAGGATGTGTACTGTCACCTGATTTGTTTTCAATATACAGTGAATATAATGAGATATTTAACTGATATGCCCAAAATTGTGGTTGGTGGGCACAATATAAACAATATGTGTCATGCTGATGACGCAGTCTTGATAACGAGTCAGAAAGAGCTACAGGAAATGATAGACTTTGTGGTGGTACAAAGTGAAAGAATTGGCCTCAGTTTGAATAATGGGAAGACAGAAGTAATGGTGGTATCAAAGAAACGAATTATTCCTAAGTGTGTAATAAAAGTTGATGGTGTTATTTTAGGACAAGTACAGAAATTTAAGTATCTGGGCACATGGATAAAATCAGATGGAAGATGCATGAGATAAGAAACAGAATAGGACAGGCAAAAACTACATTTTATAAAGTGAAGAAGATCTTATCCAATATATCTTTGTCATTGAAGGTTAGAAACAGAATGCTTGCTTGCTACATACATCCCGTTTTAACATATGGCTGTGAGTTCTGGACAATCGGTAGGCAGGCCAAACAATACCATAAGGCCTCGGAGATGTGGTTTTACAGACGAATGCTTAAAATACTTTGGATAGTCAAAAACCAAGAGGTTTGGAAAGAGGCGGGAACTCGAAGACAACTAATAACAAACATCAGAAGGAGACAGTCGTCATTTTTCGGTCATGTTATGTAAGAGGGAAAATGGAACATATTGTGACCACTGGAAAGATCTGTGGAAGAAGGGATAGAGGAAAACAACGAGAGAAGATTCTTGGCAGTCTTGTTGCATGGCATGGAGGTGTGTCAGCACACAAACTAATACATGCTGCAGGAGATCGAAGACTGTGAGAGGCATGCCACGTCAGTCAGCAAGGCACCTGATGATGATGATGATGATGATGAATGTTAGTAGATGGCAGAGAATTATTCGAAGAATGTATCCTACTAAAAGTACGAACTGTTTCTTGTACGATGGGCGAGTACAAAATTTGGATTGAAAGATGGCAGACGCAGATCATGGCTATGTTCTCTATCAGAGAGGAGAGGTACCGTTGCCGTTTATATATTGCACACCTGCATGTTTGGTTATTGTCATTTTGTGGGTTGGTCTGTCTATGCATATATTTACCCTGCCCAGCTATCCATTTATGCGCCGGCCAACAAAATGACAGTTTATGTAAATGAAAATCACCGATTTATGGTCGATTGATTTTAATTATTTTTTAGCACGGCGGAGTCAGTAAGTTTTGTTCTTCCACACATCCCCACTCCTGCTTTTTACTTCATCTTTCCATCCGTTTGAGGAGTCAGTAGTAGTTTCGTTTTTGAGACTGTTCACTCTCTTCGGTTTGACTTTCCGTTTTCCTCCAACATATTGAATCAATCACACTGATATATTCTCTGTATTTATCAGTTATCAGGATATCTTATTATTTATTAAAAATTTTTATTTAACCCTTTTAGCACGGGAAGTTTTTCAGAGGTCTAGCCAAAAACACGGAGCATTTTTTCAGTGAATTTGGTTATTACTTTATTTAATTTTTTGACAGATTTCTGTTATTCTGACCCCTATGAAATAATATATCTATTTGAAGGATATAGATTGAAGTTCGTGATTTTCACAATATCGTTAAAATTAATTGATGTGTAGTATATGCAAATTATCTCATTTGCATATCTACAAATAGAAAATATGAATTTGAATTTTCAACTTCAATGCTTGAAACATAAAACTAAAAACAAAAATTTTTTTTATTTGAAATCATTTTATTGATCTTTGGCCTTTTTACAAATGTTGTAAGCAATTCAATAGTCTAAAACAGGTATATATAAGTGAAACAGCAATAATATCTTTAGGTGACATGTATTTTTCACCATCAGTCAGCACTAGAAATGGATTTGCCGGAGTGTCAACACCTTCGGGTGGATATACCCTGAGCCATAGTTGGGCTGTGGTCTGAACACAACAGCGTCCCCATCTGATTCCCACTATTACTACTAACACTAAATCCTGCATCAGTATCAACAGAATTAGTGTCATCACTTGATTCAAATGTTTTATCAACATCAAGTTTAGGGGCAGAAACATACGAGTCAGACATACTTTTAGCGGTTCAGGTCACTATCCAAAAAATTCAACAACAATTTTCACTTCGATACCAAACACTCGAAAGTCGCCATGCGTAAAGATGATACCGCAGTTAATATAAAGGAATCACTTTCAGTGTTTCAAAGTAGGAGATTTCTTAGCGGTTCGAGGCGAAACACGATCGGGCCGATCATCGGCCGTTCCGTGTTTTTGGCCAGACATCCGCCGGCCGATAATCGGCCCGTCCGTGCTAAGAGGGTTAAATCAATCAGTTGAATCAGCTATCAAATTTGCATATGTATGCATGCATAAAAAAACAAAATCAGGCTATCCTCCGAATAACGGCACAAAAGATGGTGGCCGCAAACTATCCTTACGACGAGCCTCAGTCACGTGTCAATTGCGCACTTCCGGCGACTTAATTTGCGGTTTTCCGGCGACTACCGCCACCGCTATGAGTCCCCCACGCTCATGCGGCGTGGACTGGGGCTAAACGAGGGCTAGGACTCTCGAGCAAAGCTGCAGGAGATGCGGAAGCTGCTGCTCGTGAGTCCTAGCCATTTAGCTTAGCCCCAATCCACGCCACGTGAGAGGCGTGTGGCGGTAGTCACTGGAAAACGGCAAATTCAGTCACCGGAAGTGCGCAATTGACACGTGACTGAGGCCCGTATGGATAGTTTGCGACCGCCATCTTTTGTGCCCGTTATTCGGAGGATAGCCAAAAATCATTTTAAAAATAATTAATTACTCAGGACAGTACTTATACTATCTTAGGGGCAGTAATAGCCAGTTAATCAGTGGTGTTATGTTATTGGCATTTTGTTTACACACAGACGACGAATGCACATGTTTGAATAGTAAAAAAACATGACTTGTACCTTGCAGGAAGCAGAATCAGACATCTGGGATGACACAGTGCTAATTAAAGCTTATGACAGTGCAGTTTCAGCAGTGAAGGTGAGAGAGTATGTTTCTGTTATCTATTAGAGTTAGTTAGTTAGTTGCTGCTTCACGGCAAACAGGTAACCTCATGCATAATTGCTCCATTCCTGGGCCAACCAAAGCCACACACACACATCCCTGTCCCTTCTATAACAAATTCAAACAGATCACAGACTTGGCAAAGCCGCTAGCATACCCCTGAAAGGCAGCTGCTAGAAATGCCTACACAAACACTCCACCACTAGAATTGCAGTTCATCATTGATGGACGCAGCAGTTACAACAAATCAGCAATTTCACATGCAGTATTGTGGCAGCGTGAATTTTATGGCAGCAGGCCACTCATGTTTTGTAAATCTGAATCTCAGCTCACAAACCACGTTGAGCACAGTTAAAAAGAAATCTGCAGCTAATATTGTCATGTTATGCTCTCAGTGTGGTAGCCGGGTGATGGAACTATTTCAGAACTAACCTCTTGACACTATTCCAGCCTCATTAAAAACAAAGGTATGGGCTATATTGTGAGATAAAGACTGCAGTATAGGTTTCATCAAGGCTACTGGCCTCTTGATATCTTATTCCTAGCGTTCACTGGCTGTAAACTCCAGTAGACAGTTCTGGTTGTTTGTCCACTTATGAACTTTGGTTTTGTTCCAGAATTTGAGTTATGCCTACACATCGGTTTTACAGAACTGGCTTATGTGAATGCAGACTGCTGGTTCCTTGCCTCTCAGGCAGATGCAGTTAGAAGGAAACACTCTAATTGGTATCCTTTTACACGTTGCTTTTGGGAAGGGGGTTGGCACTGTTCTTCTCTGTTTCTTGGAGACCTGTTGATATCAGTGTTTCTGACAGAAGGATTCAAAATGTTACATTTTGCACCTAACAGTATCTAAGAGATAAAGTAGTCAGTCTCCCACAAGTGCCCTTTATGGCTTCTGATATCCTGCCTGGTTGGTTGTAGTGTTTCTGTTCTTTGCTTCTCTTTCAGACCCTGGTCACGCATGGATGCATGTGCTCTTTCTGGCTGGTTGGTTATAGTGTTTCTGTTCTTTGCTTCTCCTACAGACCCTGGTCACGCATGGATGCATGTGCTCTTTCTGTCTGGTTGGTTGTAGTGTTTCTGTTCTTTGCTTCTCCTTCAGACCCTGGTCACGCATGGATGCATGTGTTCTTTCTGTCTGGTTGGTTATAGTGTTTCTGTTCTTTGCTTCTCCTACAGACCCTGGTCACGCATGGATGCATGTGTTCTTTCTGTCTGGTTGGTTGAAGTGTTTCTGTTCTTTGCTTCTCCTTCAGACCCTGGTTATGCATGGATGCATGTGTTCTTTCTGTCTGGTTGGTTGAAGTGTTTCTGTTCTTTGCTTCTCCTTCAGACCCTGGTTATGCATGGATGCATGTGTTCTTTCTGTCTGGTTGGTTGAAGTGTTTCTGTTCTTTGCTTCTCCTTCAGACCCTGGTTATGCATGGATGCATGTGTTCTTTCTGTCTGGTTGGTTGAAGTGTTTCTGTTCTTTGCTTCTCCTTCAGACCCTGGTCACGCATGGATGCATGTGTTCTTTCTGTCTGGTTGGTTATAGTGTTTGTCTACACATAATCAAAAACTACAAAACTATACTTAAAAATGTTCTATGTTTGGTTTTTTCTTTAAACAGGCACAATTGGCGGAACAGCACCCTGAGTTTGCTGCTGCACATCCTGGCACAAAAACAAAAAAGAAGAAACGAAACAAATCCAAGTCCAAGAAGAAGAAAAGTGTAAGCCAGAGATTCCATTGTGCAACTGTCTTTGTATTTCAGAGTTCATCACGTTGTGCTCATCACACTGCGTTTTGAGTAAATATATCCTGTAAATTAAGGGATAGGGTTCAAGGTCACATAGTCCTAATGTATTATATTAAACATTTTTTTAAAAAATTGTGTGCCACATCACTGACAGGCTTTGTGAAGATGCTTAATTATTCTGAAATACTTGGTTTGATTTCAGTTGTAGGCTATCTGGCAGCAGACTGCAAATTGTGATAATAGTATAGAGCATTGAGCATCCATAAAGCAGCGGCAATTACTCTGAACATTAAATTGGCTGGTAAAATCACTAACAGCCAAAAATGCTGATGTTAATTATGTACAGGATACACAGAGAGCAGACTGTAACATCAGTGGTAGCGTTAAAGAGAAATACAAAGAAAGACACAGTTTTATTTTGTGTTGCTTGAAGTGTTTTCTGCGGAGCTGAGGCATGGGTATAAAACTAGCAATTTTCTACCCTTCTCAGCATTTAAACCGAGATCAGCTAAGTTTAAAAAAATTTAGTTGGACAAATAAGTTGAACTTTTCCCCCAGCGTTTGTGTTTGTAAATATACCTATGTCTGTTGTAACACTGTAGTCCACCAGCCGGCTTCAAACAGTTTGCTTCTGCACTGCAGAGTAGAAGAGGGAGGATTGAGTAAAATTGTAAAGTCTTTTATACCTAAGTAAGACGTAGGATTGAATAAAACTGTAAAGTCCCTTATACCCAGGTGTAGAAGTGGAAAAGTTAATGCTGTAAAGTACCTTATACCCAAGTGTAAAAGAGGGAGGATTGAGTAAAATTGTAAAGTCCTTTATACCTAAGTAAGACGTAGGATTGAATAAAACTGTAAAGTCCCTTATATCCAGGTGTAGAAGTGGAAAAGTTAATGCTGTAAAGTACCTTATACCCAAGTGTAAAAGAGGGAGGATTGAGTAAAATTGTAAAGTCCTTTATACCTAAGTAAGACGTAGGATTGAATAAAACTGTAAAGTCCCTTATATCGAGGTGTAGAAGTGGAAAAGTTAATGCTGTAAAGTACCTTATACCCAAGTGTAAAAGAGGGAGGATTGAGTAAAGTTGTAAAGTCCTTTATACCTAAGTAAAGCGTAGGATTGAATAAAACTGTAAAGTCCCTTATACCCAGGTGTAGAAGTGGAAAAGTTAATGCTGTAAAGTACCTTATACCCAAGTGTAAAAGAGGGAGGATTGAGTAAAATTGTAAAGTCCTTTATACCTAAGTAAGACGGAGGTTTGAATAAAACTGTAAAGTCCATTATACCCAGGCGTAGAAGTGAAAAAGTTAATGCTGTAAAGTACCTTATACCCAAGTGTAGAAAAGGGAGAATTTAGTAAAACTGTAAAGTACTTTATACCCAAGTGTAAAAGTGGAGAGATTAATGCTGTAAAGTACCTTATACCCAAGTGTAGAAGAGAAAGGACTGAGCAAAATTAGTCTCTTACACCAAGATGTAGATGATATGGAGTTGAGCAAAACTGTAAACCTTACACCAGATGTAAATGATATGGAGTTGAGCAAAACTGTAAACCTTACACCAGATGTAGATGATATGGAGTTGAGCAGAACTGTAAACCTTACACCAGATTTAAATGATATGGTGAGCAAAACTGTCAACCTTACACCAGATGTAAATGATATGGTGAGCAAAACTGTAAACCTTACACCAGATGTAAATGATATGCTAAGCAAAACTGTAAACCTTACACCAGATGTAGATGATATGGTTGTGAGCAAAACTGTAAACCTTACACCAGATGTAAATGATATGGTGAGCAAAACTGTAAACCTTACACCAGATGTAAATGATATGGAGTTGAGCAAAACTGTAAACCTTACACCAGATGTAAATGATATGGTGAGCAAAACTGTAAACCTTACACCAGATGTAGATGATATGGTAAGCAAAACTGTAAACCTTACACCAGATGTAAATGATATGGAGTTGAGAAAAACTGTAAACATTACACCAGATGTAAATGATATGGTGAGCAAAACTGTAAACCTTACACCAGATGTAGATAATATGGTTGTGAGCAAAACTATAAACATTACACCAGATGTAAATGATATGGTGAGCAAAACTGTAAACCTTACACCAGATGTAGATAATATGGTTGTGAGCAAAACTGTAAACCTTACACCAGATGTAAATGATATGGTTGTGAGCAAAACTGTAAACCTTACACCAGATGTAGATAATATGGTTGTGAGCAAAACTGTAAACCTTACACCAGATGTAAATGATATGGTGAGCAAAACTGTAAACCTTACACCAGATGTAGATGATATGGTTGTGAGCAAAACTGTAAACCTTACACCAGATGTAGATGATATGGTTGTGAGCACAACTGTAAACCTTACACCAGGTGTAGATGATATGGTTGTGAGCAAAACTGTAAACCTTACACCAGATGTAGATGATATGGTTGTGAGCAAAACTGTAAACCTTACACCAGATGTAGATGATATGGTTGTGAGCACAACTGTAAACCTTACACCAGATGTAGATGATATGGTTGTGAGCACAACTGTAAACCTTACACCAGGTGTAGATGATATGGTTGTGAGCACAACTGTAAACCTTACACCAGATGTAAAAGAGGAAAGATTGAGTAACACTGTCAAATACCTTACAGCTAGAAAAATAACAAGTATAAGTAAATAAATAAGTCAATAAACAGCTTGTAACAAATATGGGTTTGTTCTGTCCAACAGGCTAACAGAGGCACAGGAAAGTGGAAGGCGGGAGATCTGTGTCGTGCAGTGTTCACAGAGGATGGAGAAGTATATGAAGCTCGTATTTTGTCCATTGATGAAGATGCAGAAACTTGTACAGTCAAATATATTGGTTATGGCAATGAAGAAGAACTCCCATTGTCCAGTTTGATGCCACTGGTCAGCGAGGATTCTTCCCAGGATGTGAGGACGGACACAGCCAGTGATGTACGTACAATTAAGTATAAATTGAATTACAGCATTTGTGATGGTGAAGATTGCATGTTAACTTCAACATCACAACCTCTCTTGAGGTCTGTATCTAGGAGTGCAGAGAGGTACTGGACCACACTTGTTGCAGCAGGACCATGGCTTGTACTGGTGAAGCCCTGCCTACACCTCTCTACACATTTGCATGTCTTGTGACCATGTGAATGTGTTGTCTGTATGTGTTGTGTCTGTGAGTGTGTGTAGTGTCTGTGAGTGTGTGTTGTCAGTGTGTGTAAGTTTGTTTGTGTCTGTACGTATGTCTTGCTGTGTGTCTGTGTTGTATGTATATTTTTGATTGTATGTTTGAATACATGCATTTGCTATCCATGCTTTTATATACTTACTTTACATGCATGCTCTGAATTTTGATATATCAATATAATATGCTTGATATATATAATACAATTGTTGTGTGAAACAGGTGTTGGGGGTTGTGTTGTGGTTTACAGCTAGACTGTGATGTCTACACTTTTTTGTCCAACACATCCGATTTGAGCAAACCCTCATTAGTCACATTGTACAACTTGCTTGTGGGTCATTGAGTCTGTTCTAACTCCCAGTGTAAATGTTGGATGACATGGAGAGGTGTCGTCAGCTCACATGATGTTGGTAATCAGCAGGTGTCAAGAAACAAAATCTTCTGCACCAGTCCCCCAGTGACGTGATGATAATATGGATATATTATAAAACATATGGCCCTTAATGCCATAGATACAGTATATTGTAAACAAATATGAGAGATTGGCACTTTGAAAGTTAGGATAGAAAAAAACAAAAAAAAAAAACAACATAAAAATGAAAGCTATATACCAGGAAATGTTTGAAATGAAATCTGTCTGTATAGTGTAGTTGTGGGTTCAAGCTGTATGATAGACCTGGCTATGTATGATAGACCTGGCTATGTATGATAGACCTGGCTATGTATGATAGACCTGGCTATGTATGATAGACCTGGCTATGTATGATAGACCTGGCTATGTATGATAGACCTGGCTATGTATGATAGACCTGGCTATGTATGATAGACCTGGCTATGTATGATAGACCTGGCTATGTATGATAGACCTGGCTATGTATGATAGACCTGGCTAATGAGGACACTTTTTTTAGGGCTGTCTAGTTGATGATGCATCAAAGTACACCTGTTCCTGCAGTGAGGCACTGTCTTCATTTGGATGTGACAGGTTTGATTCCCAGATAATTAATTAGAGCTGAAACTTAAATGTTGTTGCTTGTAATTGCCATCAACTTTACTTTGTTTGGGTTTTGTAGACTGGAAGTGTCAGTCATATACCAACAGTACCTGAAGTGAATGCTGGAAAACACAGAAACAAGAAAGCCTCATCTAGTCAACAACACAACAGCCAGAATAAACGTCGCATGCCTAAATGGCCGTGGGATGGATACATCCCACCTCCTGTCTTCCCTCAGATGCCGCCACAGGTAAACTTGTTTGTTTGGTTCACATCGATTACTTTTCTGGGACATTCTAAAGTAACATCACATATTTCCAAGACCTGTCTTAGCTTTAATACAGCGGCAAGATTTGCTAAAGTACACAGGATCTTCCTCAAAATTCCAGGAGTTCACTGTATCCTCGTACATGATCCCAAGGTGTGATGATAGCTTAGTTACACAGGACTCAGTAGAGGAGAAGAGGCAGACCAAGAAAAACCTGGATACAGAACTTGACTGATTGGACAGGCCTTAGGAATGCAGCTATGAACTCCATTACATCTGACCATCAAAAGTGGGGGAGCTCATCGGACAGGGTAATGGGGCCCTATTGTGGGCAAAAGACTGCCTACCCAAAAGCATGTCGTAAGAGTCTACTAATTAAGGATGTTTACTTCAGAGTCGGGGTGCATCTACCTGAAAGGCAGGGAACCAACAGTCTGCATACAAATAAGCCTGATCTGTAAAACAGATGCTATGCGCCCCTAAATGCTCAGGATCAAGACTACACCTCTGCTAAATAAGGCATTAAAGACCGTAAAAAAAATAATCCTTATAATCTGCAAACATTCATTTTCACATGTGACCCTGTAAGGGTTCTGGTACCCTGTTGTGGGGAGGAGGGGGGGGGGGGGGGAACAAGAATAGACCCACTGCCTACCCATCAAGCATGTCGTAAGAGTTGACCTATTGGGGGACTTCCTTCAAAGTCAGAGTTCTTCTGCCTGAGAGGCAAGCAACCAACAGTCTGCATACAGATAAGCCAGATCTGTAAAATGGATGTGCAAACCACACTCAGGAGCTGGAGCAGCACTAAAGTGGACAGACAGCCAGAACTTTCTGCCGGAGTTTACAGCTGGTGAATGTGAAGAATTATGAAGAAGATTGCCTTTTTTGGCTAGACAGATATCATGTACATACCCCCTGAGAATGGTTGTTGCTTTGTATTGTGCAGCACCACTTCAGGTAGCATGTGTGCTCCAAGACTGAAACTGAAATATGGATCGATCCCAGTGATAACTGCTTGTGTCTCTGTTCTCAGCAGGTTCCAACATTTCAGCCTCCACAGATCCCAGCGATAACTCTACTTGTGTCTCTGTTCTTAGCAGGTTCCAACATTTCAGCCTCCACAGATCCCAGCGATAACTCTACTTGTGTCTCTGTTCTTAGCAGGTTCCAACATTTCAGCCTCCACAGATCCCAGTACTCTACTTGTGTCTCTGTTCTCAGCAGGTTCCAACATTTCAGCCTCCACAGTTTCCAACATTTCAGCTTCCACAGATCCCAGTGATAACTCTGCTTGTGTCTCTGTTCTCAGCAGGTTCCAACATTTCAGCCTCCACAGTTTCCAGGATTTCCGCCTCCACCAGCTCCACACTATCCCAGTTACCAGGCTGCAGGCCCTGCTCCACCACCAGTAAGTCACACTAGTCACGCTCCACCACCAGTAAGTCACATTAGTCAAGCTCAACCTGTAACGAAGTACCCAGCAAATGTTACCTGAGATGATTAGAGGTGACAGGTGAGTAATAGTTGATTGTAGCAGCTGCAATAGGGTGCTCACATGGTTCAGCATACAACATAATGGTCCACTGAAAACCCACTTTAGCGAGAGACATTTTGCGACTGATGCAGAAGCTAGATGTGAAGTGAAATTGTGGTTAGGAAACAGAGCACGCAGTTCTGTGTCACAGTTTGGGAGGACTGATAAAATAATGGGACAAGTGCATCAGTTATGTTGAAAAATGCAGAAACAGTATATGTGTAAAAATAAATGGTTTTCAAATTGTTATTGTCTTTAGTTTGTTTTTATTGTTAAACAACCATTTGTGACTTCCCCTCATATAGTGAAGTTCATTAGATCTGAAATTTGTTATATTGAGGTCTTGTTAAATCTGAACTCTGTTATGTCATGTTTAATTTAATCAAGAGTTTGCTACTGCTGGTTATTTATGTTTATGAGCTGCTAATATGACATTTTCTGTTGGGTGTGTGTTTCTGTAAATTAAAAAAAACCCAGACTGCAGACTTGAACCTGCCTGTTTGCTTCCTCCCCACAGATGTTCCCGTGTGTTCCTCCACCACCCCCATTGTTTACAGACCAGGGTGAGGAGAATGAGGCGTTGTACAGCATGCTGATTTCTTGGTACATGAGCGGCTACCATACAGGATATTACCAGGTGAGTTGTCTGAGTAAACCGTATCCTCTCTCACACAGAGAAGGCCATTTTTCCTGCCTTTACAGGTTTGGGTTGACACAATTTCATTGGACTGTGTTCTTGGTAGTCTTAGTTTCAGCATCATAGCAAACAGGTCACCCCTTAGATGCTCTGCTCCTGTGCCAATGAAAAACACACAGAATGTTTATCACAGTTCCTTGTGGAAAGATTGACAGACTGCTGTCCCAGCATATGGACTAGCATACACACGCATTAAAAGTATATAGTAGCCATCAGAAGTGCTAACACAAACAGTCCGACATTAGAAATGCAATTCATCATCGACGGTAGCAGAGGTAACCAACAAATCAGCAGTTGCACAAGCGATCAATTTTAATCACATAAGGGTACCACCAATATTGCGAAGATGACAGGCTACGCGCCATTTTCTAAATCTACAATTAACAACACCACGTTGGTCACCATAAAAAATTGTTGAAAATGAAATCTGCAGCTCAGTGTCCCGCCGTGCACTCAGCTCAGAAGCTGGGCACACACAACTATACCCTTACATTCTACAAATTAAGCAAAAATGCTACAGCCACTGTCTGGTAGAACCAAAAAAAAATTTGTGCCACAACTCAAAACCGTGCCTAGTGCCCATTTTGACCTGGACTGCTCAGTACCCTTGTATGACTGCCTTGGTACCGGCTGTAATCTACAGGTCAAGGCGGGGTACATACGGAAACAGTGGCTGCATCTGATACAGCGCGCAGCATTTACAAATGCAACCTTTAGTTGGAGATGCTGATGTGAAAGGCAATGAGAGAGCAGGCGCTCTGGCTGGCAGTGCGACTATCAGGGATGGGCCGTCAGTGGACAGGAGAAATATTATCAATACCATACGAGAGACCAAATGCTGTGAGGCTTTCAGTTTCATGAAAAATGATTTTTCACTGAATAGACTGTATACCCTGGGTGTACCAATTGGAGCAGTGAGACGGAAAAACTATTGCGGGAGCCACCTGTCTTACATCAGCCAGAACAGAATGGGAGTTGTTAGCCTAAAAACACTTGGAGTCGTATTCAGGAAGAGATTGAGCACTTATGGTCGTTTTCGATGTGCGATGAACTTAAAAAATGAACAATCAGTAATGAACAGTGGCCGCAGTTGCATTGTGTGTAGACATTTTGTGTTTGTGTGAGCAGGGGGTATTCAGGGTGACATAGTAGAAGTAAACTTTCCCAGTTTAAACATTTGGAATCTTGGAAAGCAAAATCAATTATGTTTTAAATTAGTGGCGTGACTTCATCACAGAAGCAGAGGACTTCATGCCTGCCTGTCATTTTAGTGGTCCAGGGGTTCGACCCTCTGGATATTTAAAAAAGCTGCAAAACACATTTCTTCTGCTTATTTTGTTCCAGTTTCTTGGGGTGGAGTTTCATAGAATTATAAGAATGCTTTTGTTTTTTTAAAAGACAGAATTTGATAAAAACAAACCTAAGCACTTTAAAAAAAAAGTTTCTCTTGGGACAAAAGAGTAAAATATATGTGATTAGGTCAGTAAATAAATAAGTAACATACTGTAAAACAAATGAGTGAATTTAGATATTTAGAGTCATTTGACACCTTCGGTGGCAGATTAAGTGGAGAAATCAGCATACAGTGTGTAGAAGCAAACCAGGTATTGGAACAGCTAGTGTCAATTGACACCTTTGCTGGCAGATTAAGTGGAGAAAACAGCATACAGTGTGTAGAAGCAAATCAGGTAATGGAACAGCTAGTGTCATTTGAGATCAGCCACATAGAAAGTTGCTGATTTCTGCCAAAGCAAATCTCATAGAACTAATTTTTGTGGCTGGCATTATGCTACCAGTTGATCAGCTGCAGCATGACTTTGATAGGATTCTCAAACATGATTTGATGGTAATAATGGGAGATTCTAATGCTTAAGTAGCTTTCACTAAATATGTATGTCTAGAGAGCTCTGGAAAAGGAAGGAGTTGATACAATGAATGAGAATGGAGAAAGATTAGCTGAATTAAGCATGTAGTCAGATGTAATAAAGAGGCACTATCCTTGCTCATAAAGAGATTCACCAGCTAACTTGACATTCAGTTCTAAAAGAGGATGGTAATATATTGAGAAAATCATAAGGCAGGTTGGACAGAGAATGCCAAACAAGCACTGAAATAGGAATTAACGTTTTTGATGGTATATAAAACCCACACCAAATAGTAAAGAAAAAAAAATGCCTCAGATACTTCCTGGAATGCTCCACACTCAAGCAGTAATGATGCAACCTATAAATGAGACAGAGAGTAAGTCCAATATGTGACGGAAACAGTCTTTTCTTGATCTGCCTCTTCAGCATTGGGAGGTTGATTGTTGCAGATATTCATCCGTCTCCATTAATCTCTATGAGTGACCTTCTTTCCAGTTAGTAACTCCACATGTATGTATGTCTGCCTGTATATTCTCTCTCCATCTTCTTGGTCTGCCTGCTGGTCTACTCTCATTAAACTCCTTTCTTTTGACAGTTGTTGCCTGTGATCTCTGCCATCCTCTCTATAAGCCTCCATCCATTAGGTCTGTTAGCTCTCTTGATGCTAGTAGTTAGTGGTGATGTAAACAGATTATGAATTGTCTAGTTGCTTCTCACTCTCCATTCTCCTCTGTATCTTTAGAGTTGGATGGAGACAGCATTTAAAAAAAAACAATTTTACTGAGGATGTGTGACAGACAGATGTTCTGTGTGGGCTGACAGCTAAGAATGGGCTAGAGGATGTGTGACAGAAAGATGTTCTGTGTGGGCTGACAGCTGAGAATGGGCTGGAGGATGTGTGACAGAAAGACAGAAAGATGTTCTGTGTGGGCTGACAGCTGAGAATGGGCTGGAGGATGTGTGACAGAAAGATGTTCTGTGTGGGCTGACAGCTGAGAATGTGCTGGAGGATGTGTGACAGAAAGATGTTCTGTGTGGGTTGACAGCTGAGAATGGGCTGGAGGATGTGTGACAGAAAGATGTTCTGTGTGGGTTGACAGCTGAGAAGGTAGGGGCTGGTAGCAGCTTATCTCTGTTCATCAAGAAGAAACAACATGGCAGACTTGTGAAGACTTCTTACAGCTTATCTTTCATGTGTAGATGGCACTTGATCATAATGATTGGCTCTAGAAATAGCATTACTTTAAAAAAAAAAACTAAAACCAAACACACATGCCTTCTCTCTGTCACTGAAATCACCTCACATACAGGAGTCACTGAAATCACCTCACATACAGGAGTCACTGAAATAACCTCACATACAGGAGTCACTGAAATGCATATTGCTCCATCATTGCCAACACTTTTTTACTTCACAGGGTCTCAAACACTCGGCTTCCAACACTGCTGCCGGGCATGGAATTCCAAGATGATGAATGAAGCTTGCCATCCAGTCATTGTCACAGAGTTAGTTCATTGTGGCTTTTGTTTGTGCTGCACAAGGACAAGAAGAGTCAAATTGTATTTTTGCAATTATCTAGTTTGTTCTGTTATCTTCATTATGTTTATTTTGTACACTAAAGTGTTGCTCCCTGTCTATGCCAGGGCTTATTGTTTGCTTCATAAATGTGTTTCTGTGCCAGACAAAGGGATCAGTACTTGTTTTTTTTTCTTCTTTTCTGGCTTTGTTCTAGCACCAAATTCACAAACATTAGCGTGTGTGTATATCTGCATGTGTGTGTGAGTGTGTTAGCACGTTTTCTTGATGTGTCACTTGGCAAGTCTCTCAAAAAATTTGTACAATTATGCAAAAACCGTTGTTTTATTTGCATAATTAGGTTGATTAAATGACAATGATTTTCCATATTTATTGGGTTTGTTATGTTTTTTGAAATATTGTGATATTTTCTTCTTAGGACCATTTGTGCACTCCTAGGATTGACTGTGCTGGGTGGCTTGAGTTGTTTTGTCATGTATCATCATTTGTTGAACAGGATTGTCATCGCTGTACTCTGGATATATCCATAGGGGTGTTCTCTGTAGTGTATCCAACATACAGCCCTAAAACTTTGCCCGTTTGACAACCTGACAAGCCTCCTTCACTGGGCTATTGATGCTGATGATGATTCATTCAGATGAAAGCTTTTTTGGCATGTCTGAAAGTGGGGGGGGGGGGGGGATGCATGTTGTCTACTGGATCCATTTGTTTATCCTATACTACAATGACAGTACCAGCCAGTCAGCACTTCCTTTCATTGTACACAACACCTGTATTTGCTGGTATTAAGATTAAAAATATGACCGTGTGAACTGCAGATTTATGCAAAGATTCCATCCAAAGACTAAAATCTGCCGCAACTTTAAGATATTCAGCATTGTGCTCCATTGTTTACTCAGTTAATGCAAGATTGCATGCCATGACAGTTCTAGTGGTAGTATCAGTCCATGTCATGACAGTTCTAGTGGTGGTATCAGTCCATGTCATGACAGTTCTAGTGGTGGTATCAGTCCATGTCATGACACTTCTAGTGGTGGTATCAGTCCATGTCATGACACTTCTAGTGGTGGTATCAGTCCATGCCATGACACTTCTAGTGGTGGTGTCAGTCTATGCCATGACACTTCTAGTGGTGGTATCAGTCCATGTCATGACACTTCTAGTGGTGGTATCAGTCCATGTCATGACACTTCTAGTGGTGGTATCAGTCCATGCCATGACACTTCTAGTGGTGGTATCAGTCTGGTGTATCAGTGGTGTATTAAAGCCAATTCTACTAGAGTCTATGTCTGGACAGTTCTAGTGGTGTATTAAAGCCACTTCTACTAGAGTCTATGCCATGACAGTTCTTGTGGTGTTTTAAAGCCACTTCTACTAGAGTCTATGTCTTGACAGTTCTAGTGGTGTATTAAAGACACTTCTACTAGAGTCTATGCCATGACAGTTCTTGTGGTGTTTTAAAGCCACTTCGACTAGACACGCCCAATGTCTTGTACACATGACCTCACAGACATGGAAACCAAAGAAGGCAAGTAGATCTGCATGTATTGAAAAACAGCACAAGAAACACACTTTTACGTTAATATAGCTCGATGTCACCTGTACTTGCAGTCTAGCTCAAGACATGTTTAGAATCCTCAGGTCAAACAATAACAAAGCAGGATATGTTTGTGGGGTGCAACCAAATCCTACAATAAATAAATGAACACAAACAGCTGTTTTAGATCACAAGTAACAGACTGGATGTTGCAGGTAGAGAGCCTCCATCAGCATCCCCAAACAAGAGGACACAACAACATCAAAAAACTACAAAACAAAGGTGCAGTCTGATCTCTGTGGTTCAGGATTGTGAGAGATCCATTAGCCACAGATTTAGCCACCTATCTGGTAGTTTTTGAATGTTGCAGTGTACCTTTTTGTTTAAAGTGTTCCGAACAAGGCCTGTATTCCAGTCACCAAGTGAATTCTGTCACTTGCCAGTTTGTTCTTGTTAAACTGACCAGTGTCATTCTTTATATTCACTGACTTACTCATATCTTCACAACTTTACTGCAGTTGAAGCTCTCATTTCACATCATCAACAAGACAGATGCAAACATCATCCTATCTATGAAAAGCCACAGATTAGCAAATGAGTGACAGTGGGGTACTGAACACAGACTTTCTCAACAATTTTTAGTAACTTTAGCTTATACAGCAGGAAAACTGAGCAAGTTCATATTTCTGCAGACAGGGAAGAGAGTCACGGACAAGATTCACTTGTCGTCAAGCCAGGTCAAGTCTGGTAGCATAGATACGTCCAACATAAACTGTGGCATAAAGGCTTGTGCTGGACGGCTCAAATTTTTTGGGATCATCATTTGTTGAACAGGAAGTTAGAGATATGTCGCTGCACTCTGGATACATCCATATGTGCATTGGTGTGCTCCGTAGTGGATCCACCAACATACAGCCCCTCACTATGCCCGTTTGACATACTGACAAGCCTCCGTGCATCAGGCTACTGGGACAAGAGCCAGCCTTGACAAAACTTCCATGCACTGGGCTACTGAGACATGATCTAGCCTTGACAAAGCCCCTGTGCACTGGGCTACTGGGACAAGAGCCAGCCAGGGTTCCCTGCCCACCAGCGGCAGGATTGTTTTTCCCTCAACACAGCTCTGGCATTGACTCAGTCCAATAAAAGTATGTCTTTACTGCTTGCATTGACCACTTATAGGGTGGTGTAGGATAGGTTTGGCTCGTAAGTCTGAGGGTTGAAGGCTGCATGGCTAGTGAAATCGTCACAGACTGTACTGGTTTAGGATTTTTATTGGCGCATCTAACAGACACAATCTCCATCCCTTCCTGAGGATGAAGCCCTGAGCTCATGCATGAGAGGCCAGTGTGCTAACCATATGGCAACCACAACTCTAATCAAATATGTGCTAGATGTTTTTCAAATTGTTCTGGAAATTGTTAAGCTAAAGAAACCAGCTACCTCACATCAATATGATGTAGCTGAGTCCTTGTGATGGTTTCAGGGCCCCATTGGGGGGTGGGGTTGAGAGGGGGGGGGAAATAAACCCTTTGCCGCCCCTCCCCAAGGTAAGTCTTAAACAGTTAACTAATTAGGGGTGTTTCCTTTTAAGATGGAGTTCATCTGCCTGAAAGGTGAGGAACTAACAGCCTGCATATAAATAGGTCAGATCTGTAAAATGGATGTGCACGCAAAACTCAAGCTCTGGAACAAGACCCAAGTCTGACAGTGGACGAAAAAACCAGGACTTTCCACCAGAGTTTACAGCCTGTGAATGTTAAGCAGAAGAAGATGAAGCCTAGTGTAATGAAGGTCATACACTTCACATTCCCACCGCAGTATTTGCTATATGTCAACTTTGAACTTGATGCCCATGTCAGTTGTGCAAAAACTACGAACAGATAGTGGTAGCTAATCCTGTGTCAAAGTTCCTTCAGGGGTGTGGCTGTCATCTGTAGGTGACAGGTTCAAATCCTAGTCTGGCCTATGAGGTTGGTTGCGTATTCTTTACAGGAGGTTGCAGAACCAACCCCAACAGCCCCTGGCTGTTGTGTGGTTTTTTTAGGCAAATTTACGTCCAGTAGTTTGCCATTGCTTTCTGGACGGTCAGCTTTCTTGATACCACTGTCGAAACCAATGCAAGGCGCATGGCCCACAGCTGGGATCGAACCCCGGATCCCGGCATTACGAAGCGTTCGCATCGACTTAGCCACAGAGCCGACACGGCCTATAAAGCTTTCAAAATATCATATTGTCTAGTGTGTTCTTTAATGTTGAATTTACACATCTTCTTCTGTGATTGCTAATAATTACTTGTGAATTTGTTTCTGATGTTTCAACAAAACAAAAAAAAGTTCCGTCATGAGTAACTTTATTATTACAAAGGGCTGTCATTAGAAACTTCTCCAAGTTCAGAAACCACAGGGTGAAGAAAAGTGGTGCTGTACATTTGTGAAGAAGTCTTTATGGACAGAGTGTGATTTAACACAGTACACACAGACTGTCTGAGATTAGACCATGATTCCTCCACAAGTTTTAGGCAGTTCTGTGTCACAGACTTTAACTCAAGACACTTCTAACAGACACACATTCTTTCTTATGAATGATTTTAACTTGGGGTATCACACAGATACATTCCTTACTTTTGGAGATATGAGCTGTATCCCTCAAAGGCAAAATCCTATCTTATCAGGGACTGAAACCTGGGACCCCTTACAGATACAAATCCTGTCTAACTGGGGATTAGAACTCAGATTTCTACATGAAATAAAATGTATTGCAGGAAATGTACATCGATGAAAGACATTGTCCAGGCTGTGTAAACATTGGCAGTTGTAGCAGCTTTCACCACAGCACTACAGTAAACCAAGGGGTGATATGCCAGCAACAACAAGATTTCACAGCCCTACAGTATACCAAGGGGTGATATGCCAGCAACAACAAGATTTCAGAGCCCTACAGTATACCAAGGGGTGATATGCCAGCAACAACAAGATTTCAGAGCCCTACAGTATACCAAGGGGTGATATGCCAGCAACAACAAGATTTCACAGCCCTACAGTATACCAAGAGGTGATATGCCAGCAACAACAAGATTTCACAGCCCTACAGTATACCAAGGGGTGATATGCCAGCAACAACAAGATTTCACAGCCCTACAGAATACCAAGAGGTGATATGCCAGCAACAACAAGATTTCACAGCCCTACAGTATACCCAGGGGTGATATGCCAGCAACAACAAGATTTCAGAGCCCTACAGTATACCCAGGGGTGATATGCCAGCAACAACAAGATTTCAGAGCCCTACAGTATACCCAGGGGTGATATGCCAGCAACAACAAGATTTCAGAGCCCTACAGTATACCCAGGGGTGATATGCCAGCAACAACAAGATTTCACAGCCCTACAGTATACCAAGAGGTGATATGCCAGCAACAAGAAGATTTCACATCACATGTCTAGACCAGTCTTGTGGCTAAGAAAAATACACTTACACACATGGAGGACTCAAACCTCTATCCACTTCAGGGTAGTCTTCTTAGGACCACACATTTCTCTGTTGTTCTTTCCACTGGTGGAAACATTTCAGGAAGGCCCTTTGGGAATGGAGTATGGTACTGTATTTCTTGTGACTCAAACCAGGATTTTCCTGGTGGCTTTTTCACTCAGAAAGGTGTCCAAAAGGGATGTGAATTTTAACATGAAAATCATGTCTCCTACTCTGAGGTGTAACTGTCACAGTGGAGACATTCATCATCCCTAAGCCAAAGAAAGCAAGGCATGTGTGTAGCAACTTCACTGTCTCTTCACTGTACTTCAAAGACTATTTTCTAAAGGCCATCTATTGCCAACACACCACTCATTCTTCATTCAAATCTGATTCATATTTTCTTGGACAAACACCAGTGCAATGCTGGTTTATAAGGCATGAATCCAGAGATTATCTAAGCTGAAAATGCTGATGAATTAGACTCAGTTTAAATGACAATAAATTACGTGGAAAGCAACTGCCAAGCTTTCCTCTATTTCTAAAACAAAAAACACAAAAACCCTTCCTGACAAGCTTCCAACCAAAACAAGACCACTGGAAGGAGTCTGTGGAGATGATTTTGAAGGTGATTAGGGGTTCAGAACCTCAGGTGAGTATCTGTAATTTGCCTGCCTGGCCATAGGTCAGATTCTTTTTTAGATGGACTTGGTGAGCAGTTATGAAACTTGACTGATGCATGTGCCAGGAAAGGACACTGTTGGACTGGTCACTGTAGGGGCCATGTTAATGGTGGACCTGAAACAAAAACAACAGTGTGAAAACCGCTCTCAGTCAACATTAAACAAATGGCAAGTAACAGCTTTTTTATGTTAAGTTATACAGCTTTGTCTTTTTTCTTTGTCATAATTTTCTTCTAGGCTTCTTGAGGTTAAATTGATTGACGAATGTTGTAATTTCCTAAACAGGAAGCATAATACAAAATGTGATATCTCTTTATCATATAAGGAAAACATATTTCTCTAACACAGTGTTGTGTAACCAGTATATCTCATGTTGTGTAACCAGTATATCTCATACTGTGTAACCAGTACATCTCATGTTGTGAAACCAGTATATCTCATACTGTGTAACCAGTACATCTCATGTTGTGTAACCAGTATATCTCATGTGTAACCAGTACATCTCATGTTGTGTAACCAGTATATCTCATGTGTAACCAGTACATCTCATGTTGTGTAACCAGTATATCTCACAATAAATGACCAGAAATCTATCTCACAACACACAGCACCTGTCTTGGCAGACAAAAACACAGACTGCTACACCACACAAGTTCAGTCTGACATTAGCAAAGACAGAAAGAGTGAACACGAAGTCAAACAGGTAACTGCAAGATGCCTCACCTGTTGTGCTTCATATGTGATTTGACCAGGTGGCCAGAAGCCAGTGCAGACATCAGGGACAGCTCGCCTGCTAAAACTGATGCACACACAATTCGAGCAAAGCGTTGAGCATTCTCTCCGGGGTTCTCAACATGGGATCCCTTGACCTCGAGCATCTGTGGACAGTCAGTTGATTTTCATGTCACAGTTCCAGATTTGTTTATACACAGCCACACACTTTTTTTTATAGTCGCACATTCAATTATGTGGACTTCTGCTGGTCCAATCTGGCAGATCACTAGAATAACGCCTATGCAATAAAAAGATTTGTTTCCAGGGAATGTTTTCTGCAGGAAATTCCTCATTTCTGTTCATAGGTTTTGTTGCTTTGGAATTTAGTTGAGTGCTTAGTGCATTTGGAATGATGTTTTCTGTTGTACCAATGACATGTTGTAAACTGCACTAAAAATGGCCACAGTTGCAATTACGCTTGCAATAGCATGTACCTATGCTGTTCTGTGTGTACAATGGCATGATGCTGGCTTTTCTTAACTGACTGACTACATAACAAAGTGAGCTGCAATTCTGTCTGGGACTGTTAATATTGCTACATCTGATGGCTTTCTTATGCATTCACTTTGTAGTGATTAGACTGTGAACGCTGTGGAAGGACTGGCACAGAATGTTAATAATTATATATTAATATATTTAGGCAGTTAGAAGAGTCCTCATCTTGCAGGGGACTAGATGACCTCTAGTGGGCAGTGAGGGACCAGTGACTTGAGGACAGTATACAGTAGGTATGGATGGACAGTGAGAGTGAAATAAAGAGCAAAAATACCGAGCTGAATCATGCTTTTGTCTGTATATTGTCCCCATTGTTAGGAGTGTTGGTTGACGTCTGCCCTCAGCTAGTCTCTGACATATGTAATAGTGAACGTTAATAATACTGATAAAATATTTGGCCAGTTAAAAATGCAATATGGTGTTCTCAATATTCAAAGAGTCACATGACAAATAAGAGTTGTGGCTGTCAATGACAAATAAGAGTTGTGTCTTTCAAAGATAAATAAGAGTTGTGGCTTTCAATGACAAATAAGAGTTGTGTCTGTCAATGACAAATAAGAGTTGTGTCTTTCAATGACAAATAAGAGTTGTGTCTGTCAATAACAAGTAAGAGTTGTGTGTCAATGACAAATAAGAGTTGTGTCTGTCAATAACAAATAAGAGTTGTGGCTGTCAATGACAAATAAGAGTTGTGACTGTCAATGACAAATAAGAGTTGTGTCTGTCAATAACAAATAAGAGTTGTGGCTGTCAATGACAAATAAGAGCGGTGTCTGTCAATGACAAATAAGAGTTGTGGCTGTCAATGACAAATAAGAGTTGTGGCTGTCAATGACAAATAAGAGTTGTGTCTGTCAATAACAAATAAGAGTTGTGGCTGTCAATGACTAATAAGAGTTGTGGATGTCAATGACAAGTAAGAGTTGTGGCTGTCAATGACAAGTAAGAGTTGTGGCTGTCAATGACAAATAAGAGTTGTGGCTGTCAATGACAAATAAGAGTTGTGGCTGTCAATGACAAATAAGAGTTGTGTCTGTCAATGACAAATAAGAGTTGTGTCTGTCAATAACAAATAAGAATTGTGCCTGTCAATGACAAATAAGAATTGTGTCTGTCAATGACAAATAAGAATTGTGTCTGTCAATGACAAATAAGAATTGTGTCTGTCAATGACAAATAAGAGTTATGGCTGTCAATGACAAACGAGAGTTGTTGCTGTCAATGACACGCATCATTGGCAGTATGCTAAAGCCACCTAGCTGTCAAGGTAAATATTTTCACCAAAGTGCAATTTTAGGGCTTTTAGTTTTCACTTTACAATATGCCTAACACATATACATGTCAATTCCTTCTCCAGTTGAGTAAATTAAATCAGGCACAATACCGGTGAATGATTTGATAGAAAGAACATCAAAGAATCAAATGGTTTGGTCTCTTGTCAGAATGGAACCAAATCGGCCAGCAGCTAGAGTGAACGAACGAACGAACGAACGAACGAACTTTATTTTCAAAGGGTCACAAATTGGGCACGCAGGCCCGTCTTACATTCGGCCCTTCCAGTCAACCATCTTTCTCACAGCAGTTGTATTTTACTAATAAAGCATGTTATGATCATATGATGATATGCATATTATGAATATTATAAAAGAACACAAAAGCATGAGTTGTAAAATGCATGCAAAAACCCGCGCGTGCATACATACACCCACATACACGCGCTCACCCACTCACTTACACACACAAACATGCATGCATACATTACACACATACACAGATACATACAAACAAACATGCATACACACAGGCATACGTACACACAAACATACATACATAGATACAAACATACATTCATACGTAATACAGGCATACACGCATACAGTCATAAATACAGTCATGAATGGAGACACACACATGCACACACGGACACTCCCACAGAGACACACACACATTCAGACAAAAATACAGACACACACACAGACACTTACATATAAACACACACAGGGGAACACACAGCACACATATTTACATTCGTGCTCACACACCGACACACACACCACACATACGCAGACAAACATGCAGACACATACATACAGCCACATAGACACACACGCAGTCAAACACACACACACACAAATACAGACAAACAGGCAGACAAACACATACTGACACCCACAGAGACAAACACGCAGAAATGCATAATCATTCAAACACATAGAAATACACACGCAGACACATATATTCAGCACGCACAGACATATACTCTGACACAGACAAACAAGGGGCCAACATAACACATACAGAGAAACACGCATAGACATGCACAGACAGACAGACACATGCTGACACATACACTCACGCAGACAGACATACAGACACCCACACACAGAGATACATGCATACAGCCTCATAGACACACCCGCAGACAAAACACATAAACATACACAGGCAAACATGAAGACAAACACATACGGGGACACACACAGACACAAACGAAGATATACACACAGTCACATTAAATATGCAGAAAAACACAGAGACACACACACATGCAGACAAACACAGAGACACACACACAGACACATATTTACAGCTACATGTATCCAATTGCACACACACACATGCAGACACACATACACAGCAAAGAGGCACACTTAAACACACAGAAACCAGTTCACACTGAAACATACACGTGGACATACGCGCGAACACACACATTCGCACATACACAAGGACACAGACGCATACATTCGCAGACACACACCCAGATACACAAGTAGACAAACAACATACTCAGAGTCATATGTATACAAACACGCCTACACATACATACATATCAAGCACACGCGCGCGCGCAAACATACATATCATACACACCTTGTTTAATAATAAATTGATAATGCAATATGGGTTACATTACATTCAAGGTGGCATATAATCGCTTGTAAGTATGAATTGAAAAAGTTTACGGTTAAATGAATAGGGACTTTTAGAATTTTTCAGGTCTAGTGGAAGTTGGTTCCACAAATGAGCAGCGGAGTACGCTAAACTTGTTTTATATAAATCTATTCTAGGTTTAGGTAAATGTAATAAATTTAGTCGCTTGCTATTTATAGGATTTGATTTAATTAATCGGAAAAGGTAGTTTGGAGTATTTTGAGATAAAATTTTATGAATAAATTTGGCCTTGTTAAAAATTAAACGTTTGCTAAATGGCAATAGTCTTAGATGGTTATAGAGATTATTTTTTACGATATGTTTATTATCTGAAACCAGGCGTAAAGCACGATTTTGAAGAGAACTTAGTCTTTTAACATTGGATTTGGCGCAACCATCCCAAACTGTGGAACAATAGTCGACATGTGTTTGGATGTAAGACGCGTAAAATACTTTTCTTGCATCTTCGTCTAGAAAGTGCTGAATTTTTGCAAGCTGATAGACTTTTTGTGCTATTTTCTTAGTTATCACAGAAACATGAGAATTTCAGGTTAAATGGTGTACAACATGAGAACACCAGGCTACATGGCAAAAGGCTGAACAGGAAAGAGATGGGTGGATGAAGTGAAAGAGACACTATAGAAAAACAATATGACATTTACACAAGCTATTCAACTAGCAAAAGACTGGAAACTACCTATAACTATGGACAAAAGAGGAAAGACGATTAAGTGAAAATGAAGAACTACTTTTCATGCAACCAAACAATTTTCCATTGGCCACAGTGTTATTTTTCAGAGAGATCTCACTGCTCAAAGATGATTTCCTTGAAACAAACACTGAGGTGACGACTATGAGGTAGTAACAAAGGCATCTTGTCTATACGGCTGTTCTCAAGCTGAATAATGATCTGTGTCTACTTAAAAGTGCCAAGCTGAGATGGTTATCTTAGTTTCAGCTTCAAAGCAAACGGGTCACCCCATAATTGCTCCGCTCTTGTGTCAACGAAAAACACACAGAATGTTTATCACAGTCCCTTGTGGAAAGTTTGACAGACTGCTGTCTCAGCATATGCACCAGCATACACACGCATTAAAAGCATAAGGTAGCCATCAGAAGTGCTAACACAAACAGTCTGACATTAGAAATGCAGTTCATCATCGACGGTAGCAGAAGTTACCAACAGATCAGCAGTTGCACACGTTATCAACACAAGGGCACCACCAAAATTGCTACAACAGGCCAAACTCCATTTTTAAAATCTACAATTCACAACACCATGTTGGCCACAGTCGAAAAACATTACAAATGAAATCCGGTGTTTGAGAGGATGAATGGTCAACATTTGGGCTGGACATGACTAACCCCACAGATTTCTGCTTCTCTGAAATACAATATTTAGGTTGTTTATGGATAATAAATCTCACAGTCTTTCATAAAAGATCAAATTTAAGTGAGGTTCCGAGGCCTCATTTTTGCAGAAAAATAGAATAAACTCACTGCCCTCTAACAAGCATGTCCTAAGAGGCGACTAATTTGGCTAAACTCTGAAGTTGTGCTGAAAGGACATATACTGCAGCCTACCTGAAGACCACAATAAGCCAATCACCCTTATAAGGAAGATGCAGAAGGATAACATTTTGGTTTTACATGAAGAATAAACCTAATAGTTTTATATATATATATATATCATAAAGAACAAATTTGGGTAAAACAGACCAACTAACCTCCAGACAGGCAGCTTGAGGAGGCAGGACAGTGCCACCCCCAACTGTGCCGACTTCTATAGACGGCATTGTACAGGTAATGTGAAGGTCATCACTGTAAGGTCCGCTAGCTTCCATCAGAATTATGCAGTTTGAGCTTGTAACATTCTGAGCCGGGTCCTTGAGCAAAGTCAAAAATACACATGTCAATATAACATATACAGTAATTCTACAACAAAAAATTTCAGTAAATCAGAACTATATAAGTGGTGTCAACATCACAAAGGCCTCTTTTGCTTCTTAGAGCATTTCCTGGTAACCACGTTAAGGCAGATTTACATTTTTACAGGGCTTCAAACATGTGACCAACCAGTAGGCAGTCAAGTATTCTTGTAGCTGCACCACTATAGCTCTGTAACTCCACGGAGTGAATACAATTTTAGGAAATGTTATCCTTTATATGACTCACAAAGAAGCTTGGTCAACATAAATCACAATAACAAAGAAGCTTGGTCAATATAAATCACAATAACAATTACGTTTGATGACCTTAGAATTAATTTAGAGCAATCACAAGTGATCATATATATTTTGTAGACTCTCTGAACAACCAACAATTTAATTAACGAAACATTCGTCGGTCCCACAACACACCTATTAGTCCAGTGACTGACTATATGGCCGACTTTTTAGAGTGGTGTGAGAGGGGCAGGGCACAGTGTGCGCACACACACCCACAAAACCGGTGTTAGTAAATGAACTATGAACTGATTACTTCAGATCAGGAGCAGTATGACTATCCTGCTAACAGATGAGGCACTTGATGATGCTGAATTTAATAACAGTTACAGAACAGCAGAATTTTTAGGCAGAAACAAAATGGCAGCTTCTGGTCTTTTCTAAATGCCAAAATATTACATTAGGCTCACTAAGTTACTTGTATTATAAAGACTTCAGCTGCCAAAAACCAAATCATTCAGAATATTAAAACAGTGTTACCTGGCCAGTTGCGATGTATATGGCTGTAACAATGTTGGAAGCATGAGCATTAAATCCTCCGATACTGCCAGCCATGACTGAGCCTACCAGGTTTTTGCTGATGTTGAGGTCAACTAGAGCAGGCACTGTTGTCTTGAGAACATTTCGGACCACATGTGACTTCACTACGGCCTCACAAACAACTGACTTGCCTCTGCCTTCAATCCTGGCATGTGATGAGAAAGAAAATGTGTTTAGTTTAATAGCAACCAAACTGGCAGCTAACTGGTTCTACAATAATTAACCCTAAAAAAAAACACACACACAGACAATAACAACCATATTACAAACTTAAAAACTAATTTTTATTTATTTGTTTATCTACAGTTAAAATTCCAACCACTCTCTGAATACACAAAAGTATCTAAAGGTGCAATCAGTAAACACAGTGAAGCATTAAATGGAATACATTCCCTGGGCTGTATATATAAAAAAAAAAAAAAAAACTGATCGGGAAAGACAAGCTATGACTGTGTCCTCTATCACTGAGGCTTACGGGAAAATTGTACACCATCAATGCTATTTTTAGTTATTACATTCATATCCTGGCCTATTTAATATTGCATAGATGCACACTGGACCAACAGAATTTAACTATGCTTTTAGAGAACAGGTCATTACAGACAAGGCCATACATCTGGAAGTGACCAGATTAAGGCTTCTCAGGGTGAAAAGGTTAAAAGCTAATAATTTCTGGATATTCTGAAGTCAACAACTCAAATCTCACTGTGCAACAAGAACATATAAAATGCAGTATTAGTTCTAGGCATTCATGTGTTACTGGGGCCCATGTGGGAAGCAATGATAGTAACACTGTAATCTATCATGAATATCATAAGCGGTCACTAAAGAAAGGTGGACTGAAACTGGTTATCTCTCTCTTTAGGCAGTTTTAGTAGTAGAATCCAATTCACTCGCAAGCAATTCTACAAAGGTAAGCACTAACTGGTTAAACACCTATGCTCCAGTGGGAAATGAAAGGTAGATGATAGTGAAAACAAACAGATCTTGCGTTATCGCTGTCATTTTTCATGATCATGTAGCAAGTCTTCTGCAGAATGATGCTCTCATGACAGTCTGCCTGAAAGAAACTCATCTCCCATCTGATCTCCCACCTAATCTCCCATCTGATCTCCGACCTAATCTCTCGTCTGATCTCCCACCTAATCTCTTGTCTGATCTCCCACCTAATCTCTTGTCTGATCTCCCACCTAATCTCTTGTCTGATCTCCCACCTAATCTCCCCTCTGATCTCCCACCTAATCTCCAGTCTGATCTCCCACCTAATCTCTTGTCTGATCTCACACCTAATCTCTTGTCCGATCTACCACCTAATCTCTTGTCCGATCTCCCACCTAATCTCTTGTCCGATCTCCCACCTAATCTCTTGTCTGATTTCTCACCTAATCTCCTGTCTGATCTCCCACCTAATCTCCCATCTGATCTCCCACCTAATCTCTTGTCTGATCTCCCACCTCGTGCACTTTTCTACCCAAGGCGTCACTTATAGTCTGTGCCCATCTGGTTGGCCCCTGCCCCTCTTTCCTGACACCATGTCTTCTGCTATTATTCTTTCCAATCTGACCTGGCCAAGATATTTCAGTTTCTGAGACAAGATGCTGATTACTAGCCAATATTCCTTGATGTTCAGATCTTTCAGGATGTCTTCTTTGTCCAAGTTATTCTGAGGATCTTTTTATAGCATTCCAGCTCAAAAAGTCTCTGTCATTAGGTGTTTATTACCTGACACCCCAAATTTTAAGAAATGTGCTACGTGAACTTCCTACCATTATCTTCATGGGTAAGCACAGCAACCACTATCCCACCACAGCTTTTAAGGAATATTGTATTATGTTATCACAATTGATGTTACATGTGACCAACACAGGCAGCGGTCACCAAGAGGAGGTTTCAGCGATGACATGGTCAACAGATTCTAGCCCAGTGCCTATAGGGAACTTACCAATTGATTGCTGCAGGCTTTTTGTCAGTGCAGAAGTTACCACTGAGGCTGACCATGTCCATGTCGGGGAAGATATCCTGCAACCTGTTCAAACACTTCTCAACTCCCTGGAGAGTGGAAACATATAATTCATTCTCACATGGCATTTAGAGCTTCCATACTGACATTTCGAGGTGGCAATCAGAGACATTCCTATTGTACGAGGGAAAGTCATTAAGTAAGTCACAAATGGTTACTAAAAAAAAAAAACATTAAAAACTTTTTTTACTCACACTGTCCCCCTTTTTGTTTTCAACATAATCTCCACTAGCATCGATGTACTTGTTCCATCATTTTATCAGTCCTCCCAAACCTGTTTATCGGTTGATTGAGTACCCACCTTGAGCAAACTTTCTGAAATTTCAATCAATCATGCATTATGTTGTACACTGAATCATGTGAGCACCCTACTGCAGCTGTTACAGAGTCAACCGTTCATTACTCGTCTGTAAACTCTAATCATCTCCTTCACCCGTTGCATGGATGCGTCTGTGTAATCTCAACAGGATGACCAGATTGGACTTCATCAACAATTTTAGAGCATCCTTGAGAAAAATATTTTTACCCAGCTATGCATTAGTTTACAGGATAAACATTTGACAGCATAAACAGGAAGCATTTCCTTATGAATGTCCTTTGCAGGCTGCCCTTTTGCCCCTGAATGCGCATGCAACACCTAGCACCACCTAACAAACGGAGACATACAGTTCGATGTTGCTGTCACCTAATAATACCTTTAAAAACCACCAACTACATTGTCCTGACATCCCATAACCATTTGTGACTGATTGACCTACCCTCGTCTGACATGTGGAAACACTCTACTGACATTTATATACTCCAGTGACAATTTATGAGACAGTCTGATGAAGTGCCACATACAGTTGTAACAGTAACAGTATTTGTTACATCTTGATATTAATCTTTAATTATATCTAGATTTTGTAATGGTAACAGTATTTGTTACATCTTGCTATTCATCTTTAATTATATCTAGATTTTGTAATGGTAACAGTATTTGTTACATCTTGCTATTCATCTTTAATTGTATCTAGATTTTGTAATGGTAACAGTATTTGTTACATCTTGCTATTCATCTTTAATTATATCTAGATTTTGTAATGGTAACAGTATTTGTTACATCTTGCTATTCATCTTTAATTATATCTAGATTTTGCAATGGTAACAGTATTTGTTACATCTTGCTATTCATCTTTAATTATATCTAGATTTTGTAATGGTAACAGTATTTGTTACATCTTGCTATTCATCTTTAATTATATCTAGTTTTTGTAATGGTAACAGTATTTGTTACATCTTGCTATTCATCTTTAATTGTATCTAGATTTTGTAATGGTAACAGTATTTGTTACATCTTGCTATTCATCTTTAATTATATCTAGATTTTGTAATGGTAACAGTATTTGTTACATCTTGCTATTCATCTTTAATTATATCTGAATTTTGTAATGGTAACAGTATTTGTTACATCTTGCTATTCATCTTTAATTATATCTAGATTTTGTAATGGTAACAGTATTTGTTACATCTTGCTATTCATCTTTAATTATATCTAGATTTTGTAATGGTAACAGTATTTGTTACATCTTGCTATTAAATCTTTAATTATATCTAGATTTTGTAATGGTAACATCTTGCTATTCATCTTTAATTATATCTAGTTTTGTAATGGTACAGTATTTGTTACATCTTGCTATTCATCTTTAATTATATCTAGATTTTGTAATGGTAACAGTATTTTTTACATCTTGCTATTAATCTTTAATTATATCTAGATTTTGTAATGGTAACAGTATTTGTTACATCTTGCTATTAATCTTGAATTATATCTAGATTTTGTAACGGTAACAGTATTTGTTACATCTTGCTATTAATCTTTAATTATATCTAGATTTTGTAACAGTAACAGTATTTGTTACATCTTGCTATTCATCTTTAATTATATCTAGATTTTGTAACGGTAACAGTATTTGTTACATCTTGCTATTCATCTTTAATTATATCTAGGTTTTGTAACAGTAACAGTATTTGTTACATCTTGCTATTAATCTTTAATTATATCTAGATTTTGTAATAGTAAAAGTATTTGTTACATCTTGCTATTAATCTTTAATTATATCTAGATTTTGTAATGGTAACAGTATTTGTTACATTTTGCTATTAATCTTGAATTATATCTAGATTTTGTAACAGTAACAGTATTTGTTACATCTTGCTATTGATCTTTAATTATATCTAGATTTTGTAACAGTAACAGTATTTATTACATCTTGCTATTAATCTTTAATTGTATCTAGATTTTGTAACAGTAACAGTATTTGTTACATCTTGCTATTAATCTTTAATTGTATCTAGATTTTGTAACAGTAACAGTATTTGTTACATCTTGCTATTAATCTTTAATTATATCTAGATTTTGTAACAGTAACAGTATTTGTTACATCTTGCTATTAATCTTTAATTATATCTAGATTTTGTAACAGTAACAGTATTTGTTACATCTTGCTATTAATCTTTAATTGTATCTAGATTTAGGCATTTACATCAAACAAGTAAAGACAGAAGCAAGCAAAGACTGAAAAAAGTAAAGATAAAAAAAAAATTAGTTAAAGAGGAACAAGTAAAGATAACAATAAATATGGTAACAACTAACCCAGGAAGTTAACCCGGTCAACAAATGCTCAAAGAAGTCGAATGTGTCAGCCAAAAGGTGCAAATACCGTAGCCATGCTGTAAAGAGGCACAACGCAATATGTCATTCAGACGAAGAAAAAGAAGAAACACTTAATGACAGAAATACATAAGTACAGAAACACAGAATAATAGAAATACATAAATACAGAAAGAAAGACACAAGTAAAAACATAAAAAGATAGAATAAAACAAGAGAGACAACTAATGATAGAAGGATGAACATAGTAGTATCATAACCTGATGAGTGGCAATACCTTAGACAACATGTTCATCCCCATTGCATCTCCAGTAGTGGACACAAACCTCAGGTAGAGACTCCGTCCAGCCTGACCAACATGCAGCTTCTTCAGTCTAGCAAACCTGAACGAGATGATAACAGTGCATTTTATCATGAGGGAGGGAGTATACTGTTGATAGCAGCACAACTTTGCAGCAATAACTATTACAGCTGTATTCTACGGACGTACCGTTGAATGACAGCACATTAACTTTGCTGCAATAACTATCACTGCTTTATTCTAGAATTTTACTTGCTGTCTAGGCTTTTAAAAAAAAATGTTTGCTAGTTCTCCTGCAGGAAAACCTTCAGAAACAAATTAAACTATGACATCCCTGTTTGGGTTCCCTGCTCCAGTGTTGACCACTGGCACGTATTAAGTCACCCTAATAACATACACACTGGCTTGTATTAAGTCACCCTAATAACATACACACTGGCACGTATTAAGTCACCCTAATAACATACACACTGGCTTGTATTAAGTCACCCTAATAACATACACACTGGCTTGTATTAAGTCACCCTAATAACATACACACTGGCTTGTATTAAGTCACCCTAATAACATACACACTGGCTTGTATTAGGTCACCCTAATAACATACACACTGGCACGTATTAAGTCACCCTAATAACATACACACTGGCTTGTATTAAGTCACCCTAATAACATACACACTGGCACGTATTAAGTCACCCTAATAACATACACACTGGCACGTATTAAGTCACCCTAATAACATACACAATGGCTTGTATTAAGTCACCCTAATAACATACACACTGGCACGTAAAGTCACCCTAATAACATACACACTGGCTTGTATTAAGTCACCCTAATAACATACACACTGGCTTGTATTAAGTCACCCTAATAACATACACACTGGCACGTATTAAGTCACCCTAATAACATACACACTGGCACGTATTAAGTCACCCTAATAACATACACACTGGCTTGTATTAAGTCACCCTAATAACATACACACTGGCTTGTATTAAGTCACCCTAATACCATACACAACGTATTAAGTCACCCTAATAACATACACACTGGCACGTATTAAGTCACCCTAATAACATACACAATGGCTTGTATTAAGTCACCCTAATAACATACACACTGGCACGTATTAAGTCACCCTAATAACATACACACTGGCTTGTATTAAGTCACCCTAATAACATACACACTGGCTTGTATTAAGTCACCCTAATAACATACACACTGGCACGTATTAAGTCACCCTAATAACATACACACTGGCTTGTATTAAGTCACCCTAATAACATACACACTGGCACGTATTAAGTCACCCTAATAACATACACACTGGCACGTATTAAGTCACCCTAATAACATACACACTGGCTTGTATTAAGTCACCCTAATAACATACACAATGGCATATAGTAAGTCACCCTAGCCCTGGCCACTGATCAGTGCTCACATTTGCTATTTGAATAATACATAACATACACAATGGCATATAGTAAGTCACCATAACCCTGGCCACTGATCAGTGCTCACATTTGCTATTTGAATAATACATAACATACACAATGGCATATAGTAAGTCACCATAACCCTGGCCACTGATCAGTGCTCACATTTACTATTTGAATAATACATAACATACACACTGGCATGTATTAAGTCACCCTAACCCTGGCCACTGATCAGTGCTCACATTTGCTATTTGAATAATACATAACATACACAATGGCATGTATTAAGTCACCCTAACCCTGGCCACTGATCAGTGCTCACATTTGCTATTTGAATAATACATAACATACACAATGGCATATAGTAAGTCACCCTAACCATGGCCACTGATTAGTGCTCACATTTGCTATGTAAATATAATACATAACATACACAATGGCATATAGTAAGTCACCATAACCCTGGCCACTGATCAGTGCTCACATTTACTATTTAAACAATACATAACATACACACTGGCATGTATTAAGTCACCCTAACCATGGCCACTGATCAGTGCTCACATTTGCTATGTAAATATAATACATAACATACACAATGGCACGGTGCTAGGTCGACAGCAGACATAATTAATCACAATTCTTAAATTCCCTCCATCACCTATAATTCTGATGAAGTTGTTTGACTAAAATTATTTCCTGACTAAAAATTATTTAACTGAACTGTGAAAAAAACAAAAAAAAAAAAACTTACCGAAGGTGGGAAGAGAAACAACATACAGACACTAGAAAAACTGGATGTTTCAGCCAGAGCCTTTCATGACACAAACTACAACAGCAACAAGGGGAAGATAATCCTGGTCACTAGTTCCCACATGAAAAAAAAGGGGGTGGGAGATGTGTGAATATTACTGCCATAACTATAACACCACAGTTTTGCTGCTGAATAAACAATACAAAACTCATGGCTAAAACTCGCCTGCTGGTGGTGTCGAACCATTTCTTCATCAGAACAAAGTTGTCTGGATCTTCCAACCACCGCTTGCTAGCACTGAAAAGACAAAATCAATGCCACATCACAACCTTGCAATGGTTGTTAGCAAATGGTATACAATTGTTATCCATACCCTGAGGTGCAACAGCCAATCTGAGATATCTTTACTGACTGTTCCAATTAGAAGTTGGTTAAATTGTCTCCTTTCATGGTCTTAAAGACTGTAAAGACATTCCTCACCCAACTTTACTTCTAGGTCATGCAATCGTGTTAGCGTCAGAGATTCATTTTTGTCTGCCAACCTAATTTGTAATGTGTTGATGACATCTGCTATGTCCAGGCTTCTTCTCACATGCATTTGTGCATTATTTGTCAGCTGATCGGTTTCTTCCTTAACTTTTACTCTTGCATGCCTAGGGGTGTAGATCCAGGTAATGGGAGTATACCAGGTATACAGATAAAAAAGATAAAGTCGGGAGATGTGAACCAGCGTCACTGCACATGGTTATAAACCATTAGTGCTCTGCCACCAGTACTGACAGCTGATAAGAAACTGTCCATCTGTGTCGCCGTCCGCACGAAACTCCGTAGCTACAGCGACGTTCCTCCATTTACCCCAGAGTGTTAACCCTGGTACCCATTACTTAGAGGCTGGGTCAACCCCAGGAACCGCCTGGTTTCGAACACCGGCCATGGGCTGCAGCAAGTCACAGCTGGATTTGAAAGTGAGTCTCCTATCGACTGCACTAACATGGCCCCAAAAATATCTGGGCATACAGAACTAGACAGATATTTTTATAGACCAGTAGACCTTAATGGGTCATGTGATCAACATCAGGCAAGTCAACTTGACCTTTGAGAACATTTCCTGATTAGGCTTGGCTGACCGAGGCCCAGGCGAAAAAATTAAATTAAACACACAAAAAATAATTTACATCTTGAAGTGAGAGTCGAATACTGGGTTTGCAGGAAAGGACACCTAAGTGTTTTTTGAATCTAAATCATATGTTCAAGTCACATTTTACATTCAGTAGTCTGTTACTGCCATCTGAACAGTCAGCTCTCGGTACCACTGTCGAAACCAATGGTATCAAACCCGGCACCACAGCATTACAAAGCTCGTTTGCACACCTAAACCACAGTATATAGTAAGTGAAAGCAAAAGACTCTTTTCTGTGACATTAGGGGTATTGGCCATATAGTGCTAGACTTATATTTTATAGTCCGATGGGCACTCTCTGGTTGATGTGGTCAACACCACATTTGCTGCCTTTACTTCGCATGTTTTAGCTGGCACCAAATCAAGGCTGGGTTGACCTGGGAGACAATGTCATTTATGACAAAAATCTGCCTTGCTGCGGATCTGAACCCATGACATTCAGGCCTGCAGGAGAGCATCTAGCCATTACACATAATGGCTCCCCCATAGTCCTGTGCAATGTTGATAAGTGTAGGCAGTTCCTGTTTGCCATCTCGCATGACTATCAGAGACTTGGATCAGTTCTGTACCCATTACACTATTCATCTGACATTGCAAATTCAGCTGAATCATAATTTTGTTTACATTGTTGAAGCAGATATGCCATATGTGATCTCATTACTTAATGACACCATCTAACATACAAATTAAGAATCAAGTACCTGGCCTTCATTGCAGTTGGGAATCGAACCACAGGACCTCTAGTCATGCCATCATTTGTAATATTACTAGTGACTCCTCCACTCTGCTGAAAATTGTAATAAATATTTAAATGTTACATCCCTGAACTAAACACAGCATGTAAAAGCTTTGAGAGAGAAGTAAAGAGACAAGTAAGCCTTTAAAGCTGTAGAATCCATAAGACAGACAATCTGATATATCACCAAATGACAGGTTTGAATCCAGGTATGGTAACTATAGCTTTTGATTTTTATGTTGTCTAGCGTGTCTTCCAATCTCTCTACCTCTTTCTATGTGTGCCAATCAATATATATCTAAAGACAGCAATGGGCCTTACCTCAGACTTTGTATTTATTTTTGCAGTCCATAATTTAACCATTCTTCTGTAAAACTAGATTTAACTGCTTTCTATGGAATTCTGCCACCCTTTTAGTCTCCTGTACAGGTCCCATGCGATTGGTTCTTTCTCTTGAAAGCCAGCCATCTTGTTATTTCTTCTCCTAATTTTTAAATTCTGTCACAAGATACTTTAGAAATTAGGCTACCTCAATGAACAACATAAAATAAAGTTTGTTCGTTCGTTCGACATCCACTGTGCATATAATATCTTTGAAAGTAGTGCTCTCATAATTTACAACACACCCATACCCGCACAGGACTGCAGGAGACACCGGGCTGGCTGGTGGAACTGTTACAGGTGCCCTAATTATAACTTCTTTAGAGGCTGAACGGGGTATATGGGATCTGCCTTGTTGGTCTGCTGTCCTTCTTCACATTCACCAACTGCAAATATGGGAGGAAACTTCTGGTTGTCTACATGCATTTTCCTTTCCTGAGCTTCTCAGTTATTTCTGCTGTGTTCTGTCACTCCTAAACTAGTCTTTTTCTGCCCTGTAACCTCCAGTTGAGCTGAGGAACTTGACCAACTCACGCAAAGTCGTTCTTTCCTTCGCTATCCCATGTAGCTCCCCCCCATGTCGTCCCCATCTTTTTAACTTTACTCTCTAGCTCCCTTCTCTTCCAGCTCCCTTCTCTCTCTTCTAGCTCCCTTCTCTTTTAGCTCCCTTCTCTTCTAGCTCCCTTCTCTTTTAGCTCCCTTCTCTTCTAGCTCCATTCTCTTCTAGCTCCCTTCTCTCTCTTCTAGCTCCCTTCTCTCTCTTCTAGCTCCCTTCTCTCTCTTCTAGCTCCCTTCTCTTCTAGCTCCCTTCTCTTCTAGCCCCCTTCTCTTCTAGCTCCCTTCTCTTCTAGCTCCCTTCTCTTCTAGCCCCCTTCTCTTCTAGCTCCCTTCTCTTCTAGCTCCCTTCTCTTCTAGCCGCCTTCTCTTCTAGCTCCCTTCTCTTCTAGCTCCCTTCTCTTCTAGCTCCCTTCTCTCTCTTCTAGCTTCCTTCTCTTCTAGCTCCCTTCTCTCTCTTCTAGCTCCCTTCTCTTCTAGCTCCCTTCTCTCTCTTCTAGCTCCCTTCTCTTCTAGCTCCCTTCTCTCTCTTCTAGCTCCCTTTTCTCTCTTCTAGCTCCCTTCTCTTCTAGCTCCCTTCTCTCTCTTCTAGTTCCCTTCTCTCTCTTCTAGCTCCCTTCTCTTCTAGCTCCCTTCTCTCTCTTCTAGCTCCCTTCTCTCTCTTCTAGCTCCCTTCTCTTCTAGCTCCCTTCTCTTCTAGCTCCCTTCTCTTCTAGCTCCATTCTCTCTCTTCTAGCTCCCTTCTCTTCTAGCTCCCTTCTCTTCTAGCTCCCTTCTCTTCTAGCTCCCTTCTCTTCTAGCTCCCTTCTCTTCTAGCTCCATTCTCTCTCTTCTAGCTCCCTTCTCTCTCTTCTAGCTCCCTTCTCTCTCTTCTAGCTCCCTTCTCTTCTAGCTCCTTTCTCTTCTAGCTCCCTTCTCTTCTAGCTCCATTCTCTCTCTTCTAGCTCCCTTCTCTTCTAGCCCCCTTCTCTTCTAGCCCCCTTCTCTTCTAGCTCCCTTCTCTCTCTTCTAGCCCCCTTCTCTTCTAGCTCCCTTCTCTCTCTTCTAGCTCCCTTCTCTTCTAGCCCCCTTCTCTTCTAGCTCCATTCTCTCTCTTCTAGCCCCCTTCTCTTCTAGCCCCCTTCTCTTCTAGCTCCATTCTCTCTCTTCTAGCTCCCTTCTCTCTCTTCTAGCCCCCTTCTCTTCTAGCTCCATTCTCTCTCTTCTAGCTCCCTTCTCTCTCTTCTAGCCCCCTTCTCTTCTAGCTCCATTCTCTCTCTTCTAGCTCCCTTCTCTCTCTTCTAGCCCCCTTCTCTTCTAGCTCCATTTTCTCTCTTCTAGCTCCCTTCTCTCTCTTCTAGCCCCCTTCTCTTCTAGCCCTCTTCTCTTCTAGCTCCATTCTCTCTCTTCTAGCTCCCTTCTCTCTCTTCTAGCCCCCTTCTCTTCTAGCTCCCTTCTCTCTCTTCTAGCTCCCTTCTCTTCTAGCTCCCTTCTCTATGTTTTTTCTGTGTGTGGGATGTCTGCTTTGATCTCTATGCCCCTCTGGGTTCCAGTGCAAAGATATTCTAGTTATACTGTTCTCAGGTTTTCTCAATGTGTGTCCTATCCAACACATAAGTCTTTTTTTTCACCTCCTGGTTCACTGCACTTGTTTGGTTCTCTACCAAAGCTCTACAATAATGATTCCATCATACCATTAATTTGCCTCTATTCTGCGCAGGCACCAGTTAATGAATGTTTGTAGTTTATTAGTAATTTCCTTAGTTGTTCTACAGGTTTCCGCCCCATATAATACTGATTTGAAATTAGAAATTCTTTTGCAGCAGTTTTAGTTTTAGTTTCTTTTGACCGCCACAAATGTCATAGCGCTATTAAAGCATCTCTTGACTTTTATATTCATATTTTAATATCCCTATCAGTTCCTACATTTTTATCTACATTGCTGCCCAAACAGGTGTACGACTCCACGAGTGGGATACCATTAGGAGAAACCACATTACTGTTTGCCTGATCTATTCTCTTATCTTTGTCATCTCACATCAAGTACATTTTATTTATCTTGCATCTGATTCCGTGAAGAGACAGAAGAGAAATATCATCAGTGGAGTCTAGATCATCAAGCTGTTTTTTTAGGAGTCCATTGAATTTCATTCTTGGTGTTAGCAAATTCTTGTCTTCATAATCCAGTCTACTGCCAGTAAATATAGAAGAGGTGACAAAAGACATCTCTGCCGCACACCTGTTTATATCTCAAATTAATCTGTAAGCTTTTCCTCATGAAAAACGTAAAATGTCATGTCTTTATATGTTGCCTTCACTGAGTTAATAATTTTCTGTGGCATTCCATAGTACCCCATTAATTTCCACAGAGATTCCCTTTCAATGCTGTCAAAAGCTTTTTTCATAGTCTATGAATCCAATGTAAAGTGGTGAGTTTAGTTCAATGCTTTGCTCTATTATTAATGTAACATGGCTATCTGGTCAATACAGACCTGTTTGGCTGAAAACCTGCCTGTTCATCTCTTAGCTTTTTATCAATAGCATATTTTAGACTTTCCAAAATAATCCTACCTAATATTTTTCCAAAAAGTGACAGCAACATAATTTCTCTTCAGTTCTCACACTCCTGTAGATCACTTTTTTTGGAGGGGATGTTTCACAAGATATCCTTCTCTCGAGTCTGCTGGTGTTTCTATTTTTTCAGTGTCCCAGACTGAATAATCTATGTAGCAATTCCGCAGATGCGTTTATACAGGTCTCTTGAGCTAGTGCTGTATGTCAACTGCAGTGATGACAGATGTGTATCCAGAGTGAAGCAGACGAAGACATGTGCATATTCTGAGTGCGATGGCATCACTTGAATTAACCAACAACAGCTAAGAACAAAAAGTAGAAAAGCCATGACATGAATACCTCTAGTGCTTGACATCATACCTCTTGTGCTCGACATCACACCTCTAGTGCTCAACATCACACCTCTAGTGCTCAACATCATACCTCTTGTGCTCGACATCACACCTCTAGTGCTCAACATCATACCTCAAGTGCTTGACATCATACCTCTAGTGCTTGACATCAAACCTCTAGTGCTCGACATCAAACCTCTAGTGCTTGACATCATACCTCTAGTGCTCGACATCAAACCTCTAGTGCTTGACATCATACCTCTAGCGCTCAACATCATACCTCTAGCGCTCGACATCATACCTTTAGTGCTTGACATCATACCTCTAGTGCTTGACATCATACCTCTAGCGCTCAACATCATACCTCTAGCGCTCGACATCATACCTCTAGTGCTTGACATCATACCTCTAGTGCTTGACATCATACCTCTAGTGCTTGACATCATACCTCTAGTGCTTGACATCATACCTCTAGTGCTTGACATCATACCTCTAGTGCTCGACATCATACCTCTAGTGCTCGACATCATACCTCTAGTGCTCGACATCATACCTCTAGTGCTCGACATCATACCTCTAGTGCTCGACATCATACCTCTAGTGCTTGACATCATACCTCTAGTGCTTGACATCATACCTCTAGTGCTTGACATCATACCTCTAGTGCTTGACATCATACCTCTAGTGCTTGACATCATACCTCTAGTGCTTGACATCATACCTCTAGTGCTTGACATCATACCTCTAGTGCTTGACATCATACCTCTAGTGCTCGACATCATATCTCTAGTGCTTGACATCATACCTCTAGTGCTCGACATCATACCTCTAGTGCTCGACATCATACCTCTAGTGCTTGGCATCATACCTCTAGTGCTCAACATCACACCTCTAGTGCTCAACATCACACCTCTTGTGCTCGACATCACACCTCTAGTGCTCAACATCATACCTCTAGTGCTCAACATCAAACCTCTAGCGCTCAACATCATACCTCTAGTGCTCGACATCATACCTCTAGTGCTTGACATCATACCTCTAGCGCTTGACATCATACCTCTAGTGCTTGACATCATACCTCTAGTGCTTGACATCTTACCTCTAGTGCTTGACATCATACCTCTAGTGCTTGACATCATACCTCTAGTGCTCGACATCATACCTCTAGTGCTCGACATCATACCTCTAGTGCTCAACATCATACCTCTAGCGCTCGACATCATACCTCTAGCGCTCAACATCATAACTCTAGCGCTCGACATCATACCTCTAGTGCTCGACATCATACCTCTAGTGCTCGACATCATACCTCTAGCGCTTAACATCTTACCTCTAGCGCTCGACATCATACATCTAGTGCTCGACATCATACCTCTAGTGCTCGACATCATACCTCTAGTGCTCGACATCATACCTCTAGCGCTCGACATCATATCTCTAGCGCTCGACATCATACCTCTAGCGCTCGACATCATACCTCTAGTGCTCGACATCATACCTCTAGCGCTCAACATCATACCTCTAGCGCTCAACATCATACCTCTAGTGCTTGACATCATACCTCTAGTGCTTGACATCATACCTCTAGTGCTAGACATCATACCTCTAGCGCTCGACATCATACCTCTAGTGCTCAACATCATACCTCTAGTGCTCAACATCATACCTCTAGTGCTCAACATCATACCTCTAGCGCTCAACATCATACCTCTAGCGCTCAACATCATACCTCTAGTGCTCGACATCATACCTCTAGCGCTCAACATCATACCTCTAGCGCTCAACATCATACCTCTAGCGCTCAACATCATACCTCTAGCGCTCGACATCATACCTCTAGTGCTTGACATCATACCTCTAGTGCTTGACATCATACCTCTAGTGCTTGACATCATACCTCTAGTGCTGGACATCATACCTCTAGTGCTCAACATCATACCTCTAGTGCTCAACATCATACCTCTAGTGCTCGACATTATACCTCTAGCGCTCGACATCATACCTCTAGCGTTCAACATCATAACTCTAGTGCTCGACATCATACCTCTAGCGATCGACATCATACCTCTAGCGCTCAACATCATACCTCTAGTATTCAACATCATACCTCTAGTATTCAACATCATACCTCTAGTGCTCGACATCACACCTCTAGTGCTCAACATCATACCTCTAGTGCTCAACATCATACCTCTTGTGCTCAACATCATACCTCTAGTGCTCAACATCATACCTCTAGTGCTTGACATCATACCTCTAGTGCTTGACATCATACCTCTAGTGCTTGACATCATACCTCTAGTGCTTGACATCATACCTCTAGTGCTCAACATCATACCTCTAGTGCTTGACATCATACCTCTAGTGCTCAACATCATACCTCTAGTGCTTGACATCACACCTCTAGTGCTTGACATCACACCTCTAGTGCTTGACATCATACCTCTAGTGCTTGACATCATACCTCTAGTGCTTGACATCATACCTCTAGTGCTCAACATCATACCTCTAGTGCTTGACATCACACCTATAGTGCTCAACATCATACCTCTAGTGCTTGACATCATACCTCTAGCGCTCAACATCATACCTCTAGCACTCGACATCATATCTCTAGCGCTCGACATCATACCTCTAGCGCTCGACATCCTCTGTTTGTGCTGGCGACCAAACAACCTTCTGTTGTGGCCATAGGTATGTAATACAGCCGACCGTCCAGCAGCAGTGGGCCAGCGACTCCAACTGGGACAGGCATGTAGCCAATCACATTCTCACAACAGGCTCCGTCAACCTGAGTCAAGTAAGAAATATTCTCATATGTAACAGACCATCAAACTGTGCAATATTGGGTCATATATGAGGTGATGTGAGCAACACTGAGGTCAGATATGAGGTGATATGAGCAACACTGAGGTCAGATCTGTTATGAGTAATACTGAGGTCAGAAATGAGAATCTGGACCTTAACCTTGCTGCCCTGATGAGAAGCCTAAATCTAGTCACCTCCGGCTGTTACTGAGTCTCTGTAAATACCATTCACTTCAGCAATGTTTCTTGAAATGCATAGTTAAATACCACTGGGTAAATCTGCCCCTGCACACTGTTCATGAGGTCCAAATTTGAATATATTTACTAAAAATAACATTTAGGGATGTTTTCTTGTGAACAAAATAGCTTTTCCAAAGCACTGTGGCGTCAAAATTTGCTGTATCATTAAATGTAGAATTTAAAAGAAAATTTTTTTACAGACAAAACAACTGATGACATATACAACACTGGACAGAGATTTGTGAAAAAAAACAGACTCACATATTTGTAGTCATAACTGAGGTATGGCAGTGAATCAAGAGCTGTCCTTGAGGGCAATTTCTCAACCAGCATTTGCCGTCTGTAACATAACAGACTCATGAATACTTGAGAAAACCTCTTGTACGTGTGTATCAACAAATAAATTTGAATTATTAAAATCTATCAGCTTAACAGACTCATGAGTGCTTGAGAAAACCTCTTGTACGTGTGTATCAACAAATGAATTTGAATTATTAAAATCTATCAGCTTAACAGACTCATGAGTGCTTGAGAAAACCTCTTGTACGTGTGTATCAACAAATGAATTTGAATTATTAAAATCTATCAGCTTAACAGGCTCATGAGTACTTGAGAAAACCTCTTGTACGTAAGTGTATCAACAAATGAATTTGAATTATTTAAATCTATCAGCTTAATAGACTCATGAGTACTTGAGAAAACCTCTTGTACGTAAGTGTATCAACAAATGAATCTGAATTATTTAAATCTATCAGCTTAACAGACTCATGAGTACTTGAGAAAACCTCTTGTACGTAAGTGTATCAACAAATGAATCTGAATTATTTAAATCTATCAGCTTAATAGACTCATGAGTACTTGAGAAAACCTCTTGTACGTAAGTGTATCAACAAATGAATCTGAATTATTTAAATCTATCAGCTTAATAGACTCATGAGTACTTGAGAAAACCTCTTGTACGTAAGTGTATCAACAAATGAATCTGAATTATTTAAATCTACCCAGCTTAACAGACTCATCTTATTCAGGTTCCTGATCTGCAGCAGTGTCAATGCGTGTGCCATTTGATATGTTGATGATGTTGATGATGTTGATGATGTTCATGACCACGTTAAAATTACTGTATGCAGTTCGACTGTTTAAGCCACCCGTATGCATCCTTCTCTGGGTTTTCTTCTGCCTCTTTGGCCCAGTATTTCCCCACAAAAGATAAATTTCTGTATTACATCTCTTTCATTGAAATGTTCCCCAAATTCCATTGATCTGCTCCTAATTATCTTGATTAGTGATTTTGTAACTTTTTGGCTCTGAATATTTCATCATTTGCTTTTTTATGCAACATTTTCACCAACATTCCCCTTAAACAAAAACCCACGACTACAATGCTTTTCATAATGGTGCCCAGTCTTGTTAACAAATCTTTGGATATGACAATTAACTTCTTGTGTCACATCAACCTTTAGATGTCACAGTACAGCTGTGACAAATTTTTTTTACGTCTGCTGGACTTGTGTGTACATTTACACACAATATAGTATCCACTCCCATCAGTTAACACTATGAGTACATCTACAATTTAGTACCTCTTTACATCAGCTGACACTGTCATCATATCTACAAACAATCAAGTACCTACATACATCAGCTGACACTGTCATCATATCTACAAACAATTTGTTACCTACATACATCAGCTGACACTGTCATCATATCTACAAACAATCAAGTACCTACATACATCAGCTGACACTGTCATCATATCTACAAACAATCAAGTACCTACATACATCAGCTGACACTGTCATCATATCTACAAACAATCAAGTACCTACATACATCAGCTGACACTGTCATCATATCTACAAACAATCAAGTACCTACATACATCAGCTGACACTGTCATCATATCTACAAACAATCAAGTACCTACATACATCAGCTGACACTGTCATCATATCTACAAACAATCAAGTACCTACATACATCAGTTGACACGATCATCATATCTACAAACAATCTAGTACCTCCTTACATCAGTTGACATTGTCATCATATCTTCAAACAATCAAGTACCTCCTTTCATCAGTTGACACTGTGAGTACATCTTCAAACAATCAAGTACCTATATACATCAGTCGACACTGTGAGTACATCTTCATACAATCAAGTACCTACATACGTCAGCTGACACTGTCATCATATCTACAAACAATCAAGTACCTACATACATCAGTTGACACGATCATCATATCTACAAACAATCTAGTACCTCCTTACATCAGTTGACATTGTCATCATATCTTCAAACAATCAAGTACCTCCTTTCATCAGTTGACACTGTGAGTACATCTTCAAACAATCAAGTACCTATATAAATCAGTCGACACTGTGAGTACATCTTCATACAATCAAGTACCTACATACGTCAGCTGACACTGTCATCATATCTACAAACAATCAAGTACCTCTTTACATCAGTTGACACTGTGAGTACATCTACAAACAAACAGGTACCTACCTACATCAGCTGACACTGTGAGTACATCTACAAACAATCAAGTACCTCCTTTCATCAGTTAACACTGTGAGTACATCTACAAACAATTAAGTACCTACATACATCAGCTGACACTGTCATCATATCTACAAACAATCAAGTACCTCTTTACATCAGTTAACACTGCGAGTACATCTACAAACAATCAAGTACCTACATACATCAGCTGACACTGTCATCATATCTACAAACAATCAAGTACCTATATACATCAGTTGACACTGTGAGTACATCTACAAAAAATCAAGTACCTATATACATCAGCTGACACTGTGAGTACATCTACAAAAAATCAAGTACCTCCTTACATCAGTTGACACTGTGAGTACATCAACAGTCTAGTACCTGCTTACACCAGCTGACAATGTGAGTACCTCTACACACAATCCAGTACTTGCTTACATAATTTGATACCATGAGTACATCCTCACACAATTAATTTAGTACCTGCTTACACCAGCTGACACTGTGAGTACATCTACAAACAATCTAGTACTTAGAATAAAACATATTCCAAAAACATTGTACCTGATAGCCACTCCTCTAGCGTAGCTGTCCAGAACGTTCTCCAGTTTGTAGGCAGGGATATCTCTAGACTTGACCAACATCAGAACCTCTTCATCTGTTAGTGCTTCAGCACCATGCTTTAATAGAAAACAGTCAAACATACTTACACAATTCTAGTACATTTTCAATGAATTAATTTTGCAATTCTAATTAATTCTGAAAGAGTTTTTAATGTAATTATAAAGAATTAATTTAAAATAAAAAAGGAGTTACTAATGTAACTGAACTTAACTGTCAATGAGTTACTAATGTAATTCTAATGAATTCTCAAAGGGCTACTTATGCAACTCTAGTAACTTTTTAATGAGTTACCATTGTTTGTTCAACAACTCATAAAAATACTTGCAAGCCATTTTAAAAAAAACTTCCTCTTAGATCACAATGATTTTTTTTTTTGCATGCAGCCTTAGAATATCCATGACGCAAAAATAAGATATTCTTTAGTCCAAAGATGCTGAGGATGCTGAATACCGGCCAATCCCTTGGATCTTTTCAAACCATTGTACATAGGTGGAGTGAACTTTTAGATTTTACAGCAAAAATCTGAATTTCCGGTTCAATTTTTTTTTCAGAGGCATGTCTTCATAGTACACTGATAGGTGAAGTAAATTTATTTCAAGAAGACATCACAGCACTCGGGGCATTTCCATAAGCGCTCTGTCCCCATCTTCAGCAGCCAGCGCAGAGTTCCAATACTAATGATACCAGTCACAGTCTGATTATATGTCCATCTTGCCATTCCTCTGAGTGTAGTATGCCGGCCAGGCCCTCTGGCCACACCCAGGTGTATCATTCTCTCCAGGCCATGATAATCTATTTTCTATTCTGACCTTGTTACTTGTTCCCAAAGGGCCTTGACCACATCTGCCTTGTCATGTATCACCCAGTGGTGCAGATCCAGCCAATCTGTCTGCCTTGTTCAATTGTCAAACATGTCCCCAATTTGCAATAGTTAGTATTCCCCTTCGGTCACCATTAAACCTCAGAATGTATCCTAACTGTACAGCAAATTGTCTTACAGTTGACAGATTTGGATATAGAGATGTATTTGTTGCAACTGTAGATATACCTAACGGGTAATGATATTCAACCACTCATCAATAAATGGTTTTAATCACTGCAAATCTGACGATCCCAAGAAGTTGATAATTTTTACTGGCTGAACAAATTGTAATCCATCTCGGTGCCAGTACTCGTCTTCCTCTCGGAGCACATGTTCCACACACTTTTTCCAGAAATGAATGTTTATTTTTCAGTGAGAGGGACGTGTTAAAACTTTAACATCACACATTTTAAATGTACTGTTTTTTTTCAGCAACTTTTTTTTGGGCAACTTATTTTTTGTCTTTAACCCAAACAAGCTCTATCGGGTTAAGGTGTGAATGATATTCAGGGAGTCGCAGAGAAGTGTGGACGTATTCATTAATGATTTTGTCAATGTCATACACCTTTGTCTTATTTGTTTTCATCACAAGCTGCAACAACTCTGCCTTCAAATATGTGTCACTAAAGTTGACTTTTTTTTTAAGCAAGCCATGTCTTAATGTGATTTTTTGTATTTGATATAAATTGGTACTTTGTCTTCCTCTGATACAGAATTATAATAGGCGGCATTATCCATTACTAGGCATGATGGTCTGTCCAGAATTGGAAGAAGATCATTCTCCATACAGTGCCTGAAAATGTGTCCATTCATTTCAGTGTGGAAGGCCCTATCATCCGTACTTTTTGACTGGAAAATATGTCCAGCATCATGGATAAGGTCTTTTTCTTCCTGCATAAGTCAGTATAATGTACTGCCCTTTGCTGCTTGGAATGTTCCCTTACTGTTCACCGTTTATTGACTGCCATTCTTTAGCATAGGTATTCATCCAAATATACAATATCATAGCCTTGTTCCCATCACTCATGGATCTGCATCAGGTATTTGCTTTGACTAGCAATCAAATGTGGCTTTTCACAAATAATGTTCCTTCTACCTGCATTTTTCTGAAAGTGAACCCGGTGGCTCTTACAATTTTCTACAGACTAAATTTTGAAATGCCCATACTGCATAGTGATTTTAATGTTAAATTCAGTTGTCAGAGAGTAACAAGTTGATTTGTCTCTAACATTTTTAAGATCTCCCGTCTAATGACATCTACATCAAAGTCACCAACTTTCTTTTTCCTTCCTTGCTTGATATGTGTGTACTCCATGTCCTGTCAAATCCAACGGTTAAATGATGCTCTATCCAGACCAAGCGCCAATCGTGTTTGTTTCTCTGGGCCATGAATATCACAATATAAACGAACCATCTTAGATTCCCTGCCTGAGGAAATGTTGGTACAGTAAAACTGTAACCTTCTGCATAGTTATAAATTTGCATCTCAAATTCATTTTTAAATTGGTGTCTGTGTCAGCTTTTATAAGCTAGCTATATGACACAATAACTCAACACTAATTTGTGGATGCACCTTTGACTAAACAACATTGACCGACATCTTATTTTGGCATCAGATCACTAACAGTGCCACTTTGCACGAGAAAATCATGAGAGTATGTAGGTTTTCTTTGACCCCCTGTTAAACCAGTCATAGTGTGCATTACTTCCTGAAACTAATGAAAGGAAACCTTCCAAAAGTCTACCAAGACGGTTTCATGATAAAAATATATATTGTAAAAAAGAAAAAAACTACATATAATATTCTTCTTTAGTGAAAAATATATTTTCTTAACATCGTGGGTATTCTAAGGCTGCATGCAAAAAATCATTGTGGTCTAACAGGCAGTTTTTGAGAAAATGGCTTGCATATGTGTTTATCAATCGTTGAATGAATTATATATAAAAATTCTTATAGTTTTAAAGAGTTACTAATGTAAAATTCTTATAAATTCCTAATGAGTTACTAAAGCAATTCTAACGAATTTGTAAACAGTTAAACATGCAATTCTAATAATTTGTTCAAAACAGTTGCTAATTTACTTCTAATGAATTTAAAGAAAAAGAGTTACTAATGCAACTGTAAAGAATTTTCAGTCAGAGCAAAAAATAAGAACTCTATATTTTCTCTGAAATTAGAAAATAACTCACCTCAGAGTTCATAATGGTCAGACATTCATCCCGACTTCGTGCTGGTGCACTGGTCAGTTTATAGAGACAGTGACCACCTGACTCACTGACATCAAACTGCGACTGACCCAAAAAGATGATCTCAGAGTCAGTTTGTGTCTGCTTGTTGTTGTATATCTTCTTATCTTCTCTGAACCTTTCATCACAAAAATTATCTTCTGTATCTCGAGAACCCAGGTAAAATGCTGGCTTCGTTTTATGACTGTTTCCAAGTCATTTTCAACTTCGGCTGTCATAAAATGACCTTTGAAAAAAAAAAATACAACAACAGTTCATTCTGAAAGTAAAAACAGAACAAGGATATTGCAAATGTGTAGATTTCAGGGAGTCATTGGGTGTGGAGGATAGAACAACTGACTGACCCTCTATCAAGCATGTCGTAAAAGTCGATTTTTTTGGGGGTTTACTGAAATCTGATGTTTTAGGCCCAAGGCATAGCTTTCACAGCCTAGCTGTAAACCACAACCTAATTACTTACTGCCCTTTTAGGGGCAAAAGCTGAGGGAAAAGATATGAATGGTAGCCAGAAAAATATTATACTATAAAAAGCTGGTGTTACCTATCTATGGTCTAATTCTATGTAAGGTAAGCTGGTGTTACTTACATATGATCTACTACTATGATAGGTAAGCTGGTGTTACCTATCTATGATCTAATTCTATGAAAGGTAAGCTGGTGTTACTTATGTGTGTGTGTGAATCAGAATGTTAGTGGCACCATTAGTACTCAAACTTTTTACTGGCTGCTGAAGATTGGGATAGAGCACTTATGGGAATGCCCCGAGAGCTGTGATGTTGGTTCTTGAATCAACTCAACTCAACTTATGTACAATCCATTACTATCAAAGGTAAGCTGGTGTTACTTAAGTATGATCCATTCCTATGAAAGGTAAGCTGGTGTTACTTATGTGTGATCCATTCCTGTGAAAGGTAAGCTGGTGTTACTTAAGTATGATCTATTCCTGTGAAAGGTTACATGGTGTTGCTTAAGTATGATCTATTCTGTGAAAGGTTAGATGGTGTTACTTAAGTAAGATCCATTCCTGTGAAAGGTTAGATGGTGTTACTTAAGTATGATCCATTCCTGTGAAAGGTTACAGGGTGTTATTTAAGTATGATCCAATAGTATGAAAGGTAAGCTAGTGTTACTTACATGTGCTACTGTCTTGTAGAGGCATTCTGCAGGTTTCTGAAGTGTAACTATTCTTTACACAAGCTCCAAGTGGTTGTTTGTCCACTCCAAGCGGTTGTTTGTCCACTTCAAGCGGTTGTTTGTCCATCTTTGCTTGGTCCTTCAGCAAATTCCCAACCACCTGATCCAGATGGTCATCAAAGAAGACATATTTGACCCCCAGGGCAAGGGTCAAGATCAGTGCAAGCCCATAGTCTAAATGTGAGGTCAGGAACCTGCGGAGGCAAGAATGATAAATAAGCATAGGAATACATTTCTTCTTAGAAAGTATTCATGATACTCCTGACACATTCATATCTGTTGATAACATTGTCTTCTGAATTACAATCCTAATGTGATTTATAAGGATATCTGTCATCCTAGTATTTGTCTCTGGTACAATGTCTCATCAAAATGGTTCCAACTCTTCTTCTTCTTGAAACTCAGGTGAGCTAAAATTCATGGTTGTTCATCCATTTCCCAACTTTGGTCTTGTTCTAGAAAATCAGTTTTTGTGCACAGCTGTTTTTACAGATCTGGCTTATTTGTGTGCAGACAGTTGGTACCTCAACTCTCATTCACTTTAACTTTGAACAGGACACCCTAAATTTTTGACTTTTATACACTATTAGTCAGTGTTTCTTTTACCTCTGTGTTGCAAACATGGTTTGTAATTTCGAAATATCAAGTTCACCTGGGCAAGATATTATTTTATTAACCCATTCTGCCCCAGTTGTTATTTTGAACTCTTTTTCCAGTGTTGTTATGCCAATTCCGTCACATTTTATTAGATCAAGTAACAATTTTGTTGTTATATTAACTCTGTCAGACCAGAATTTGTTAAGATTCAAAACAATTTGTTTTTAAAAAGTTGTCAGTTATTGTCAGCAACTCAACAAGCAGCAACAGGTTTATCAGTTGACAGAATTAAACAACTCAACAAACAGCAACAGGTTTATCAGTTGACAGAATTAAACAACTCAACAAACAGCAACAGGTTTATCAGTTGACAGAATTAAACAACTCAACAAACAGCAACAGGTTTATCAGTTGACAGAATTAAACAACTCAACAAACAGCAACAAGTTTATCAGTTGACAGAATTAAACAACTCAACAAGCAGCAACAAGTTTATCAGTTGACAGAATTAAACAACTCAACAAACAGCAACAGGTTTATCAGTTGACAGAATTAAACAACTCAACAAACAGCAACAAGTTTATCAGTTGACAGAATTAAAAAACAACTCATTCAACAAACAGCAACAAGTTTATCAGTTGACAGAATTAAACAACTCAACAAGCAGCAACAGGTTTATCAGTTGACAGAATTAAACAACTCAACAAACAGCAACAAGTTTATCAGTTGACAGAATTCAACAAGCAAACAACTCAACAAGCAGCAACACAGTTTATCAGTTGACAGAATTAAACAACTCAACAAGCAGCAACAAGTTTATCAGTTGACAGAATTAAACCACTCAACAAGCAGCAACAAGTTTATCAGTTGACAGAATTAAACAACTCAACAAGCAGCAACAGGTTTATCAGTTGACAGAATTAAACAACTCAACAAGCAGCAACAGGTTTATCAGTTGACAGAATTAAACAACTCAACAAGCAGCAACAAGTTTATCAGTTGACAGAATTAAACAACTCAACAAGCAGCAACAGGTTTATCAGTTGACAGAATTAAACAACTCAACAAACAGCAACAAGTTTATCAGTTGACAGAATTAAACAACTCAACAAACAGCAACAAGTTTATCAGTTGACAGAATTAAACAACTCAACAAACAGCAACAAGTTTATCAGCCTACCTGCCAACATAAAACTGCCATAATGGCTGACGAGGAAGTGTACACTGATCTCCAGAATCAGGCAACAAACTGACAGCGGCCAGATGTGAACCAGGAAACACAGCTGTCTCTGAAGCTAACCGGCTGTGAGCATGCACAAGCACTAGGCCAAATGACTGAAGAGAAACAACAATGATCAGTCACGGATAAAAGCTGTCTTATGCTACATGAACTTTCTTGCATGGCACAGGAATTTTCTTGCATGACACATGGATTTTCTTGCATGACACATGAATTTTCTTGCATGACACATGAATTTTCTTGCATGACACATGAATTTTCTTGCATGACACATGAATTTTCTTGCATAGCACATGCATTTTCTTGCATGACACATGAATTTTATCTTTTATAAAGTCTTGTTCTGTTAGTATTGTGCTTTGCTTGCTGGTTAAGGATCCCTTCTGTTTCACAGTAAAGGTGCAATGGAGTGACCAGGGGATGGCCAAGTCTACGCTCAGGAAAAAGCAAGATGGCATACATGGAGTACTGCTACTGGTACCATCAGATTTGGAACTCTTTGCTGGCTGCTGAAGATGGGGACAAAGTAACTACTGGAATGTCCTAAATGATATGATGTTGGTTCTTGAATCTCAACTCAGCTCAGCGATTTCTCAACGAGTACTCCAGTCTTCTCCTACAGACCATACAAGGAAAATTTCAACACAGTACCCAAACTCTAGAGAAGCAGTGAGGATGTGGGTAAACCACAATCACAGATAACATATAGGATATTCACTTATAGGCAGGTTTTCTCATTGTACATTTAGTCTGGGTCTTCAACTGTCCAATCATTCCTAATGTGCTCAATGTGCACATCTAAAGCAGATGGCAACGAACCCCCAAAATGGAGCGCTCTGACCTCGGCCCTATGCGCCATCCTAGGCTCAAGAGGAAAGATTACCTGACTAACTAACTAATGTGCACGTGACTAACAAGCTTTTCTCGTCCTTGTCTTAAAAGGTCAGATGTCTGTTCCACTATCCTAGCTTAAATACTATCCTTTTAATTCCATAAAAAGCAGCATGACAACCCAAATTCAGCTGGAGTGAGTCGCTGTGCACCTTTTGGTCTCCTGCACATTACAAAAATAAAGTCAGTCAACAACAACAACAAAAAACATAAATTTTGTAACAATCATCACAATTTATTAATTTAATACCTCTGGTGAACAGTAATTAATACTAGCTTTAATTAATTTAAAAAAACAAAAAAAAACTTCAAAGCAGATTTGCTATCAGAGTTAATATTATAATCGCAAATTAATACTTTTTAAGTGGAAAAAAAAAATTCATGGAAATAGAAAAAAGTATCAAAATAAATACTTGACAAATGGTCTGCCCTGAAACAGAGGAGTGCAGCAGCTATAACGACTACAGCTGATCAGAATTAGACAGTTCCGATGTCTACCAGCTTGCAAAAAAATTTGTAAAAAGTACACAGAAAAAAATGACTGATAATTATCTACCGTTACCTTGTGGATGCTATTTTTCGTTATTTGAAGCCCCACCCTGGCTTTTGCTGGGGGCCCTAAATATAGCTGGGCCATAAATATGGCCTAATGGTTGAACAGAGTTTCTGGGACCTCTCAACGAGTGATCCTCATCCACATGGTGGCACTTTGTGTCACTGGAAGTTTATTGCTTTTTGTGATGTCCTGGTGGGGTACAACTTAGATACTGTTGTGCGCTGATTTGGGTAAAGTGTGATAGTGTGTGAAGGGACAGTTGTATGCCAGTACTTTCTGTGAGTTCACGGGGGGAATAGTGTCAACATGGTCTGAGTATGAGAGGAGACCAGTCAAAATGTCTATTCATGAACAAGGCGTGCACTCACGAGAGAAAGTGGACGCGTGGGTTATTGTGTGGGGGCTGAAAACATGGCTAACGAGATAAAGTGTGAGTTAAGTGACAGCGTGATTCTCAGGTAACATCAGCCACCCACATAAGTGTGATCCTCGAGAACGCCCACATGAGCGTGAGTCCCGAGAACACCCATGGGATCATGAGTCACGAGAACGCCCATACAAGCGTGCCTCTCGTGCAATCATCATCCACCTACACGGATTTGAGGGGGATAAATTGGAGGGCTGAGTCGCCACTCAGAGGCAATTGAGAGAGAAGCGAGAAGAGAGAGAGAAATCAAGAGTCAGAGACCAAGTCAGGGTCCGTGATATCTCTCGCGAGTCTAACAGACAAGAATACCATACGACTATCAGGCATTTAGGTCTGAGTGAGTGTCAGGGTTGCGGTACTGAAGAAGATATGGTCCTGCTGGCACAGTAAGTCCAGGGGACGGAAGGCTCCAGTAGTACCTGTTCTGGGTGGCGAGGTAGTGAAACGTAGGAGGACCACTACTGAAACAGAACAGAGGGGAGTGGTACCGACGAGAGCTGTGTGCTAGAGGGGACTCACGGTAGAAGTCCTGTCGGTCATCGGAGCCCAGCGACAAGCTGACGACAGCTGTGTTTTCGGAGTACGGCCAGAAAAGTCCGTCTCCAGTCAGCCGTGTTATATGCTGAAATAATATCAAGGTCCAGGGAATGGGAGAATTCGTCCTGTTAAGCTGTACGGCGCGTCCAGAGTGTGGGACGCTGTAGTCCTTGGAGCTGTAGTAGTCAAGGAGAGGCCGCTACAAATAGAGAGAGAGAGAGCGAGTGAGGACAAATGGACAATGTGCGAATGTCAACTGTGATCAATAACTACGTCTCTGCATTTGTGTCATGTATCCAGTTAAATAAAAATGTATGACGGTGTTATCGTCGTCGAGTTCTATTTCTAAGAGAGGAAGCTGAAGGGTACCTGCTAGACACTTGGTAGTGTGCTGACTAGTGGTAACTCATTTAGCATACAACACATACATACACACAAAAGACTGATTACCATAATTATTTTAACACGCTGGGTCACCGGATTTGGTTTCGTCTCTTCTTCTTCTTTCTGCAAGATCCTGGATAACTGCTGAAGATGTCGCAAGGGTTTTCCAAAGACTCGACCCTGAGAAATCTGTCACAAAATCAAATCAACAACTACTTGTTACCTGCAGAACTCTATGCTCAATGTCATATAACCTGGATTTACAGCTGAGAAAACTAAGACAATGCAACTGTAACATCCAACAAACTTGTGAGACATCCAACAAACTTGTGAGACATCCAACAAACTTGTGAGACATCCAACAAACTTGTGAGACATCCAACAAACTTGTGAGACATGTTATGTACATTATCACAATTGACATCACTGCAGACCTGGCTATTCCCAGATGTGCTCAGTCCTCCAATGCAGCAGCAACTCAAAGGTACCTCTACTGACTGATCTGAACTTTTAGTAGTAGTTCAAGCAACAATTGTTGTTATTATGTTGCCTCCATCAGATCTAAACTTTTATTAGATCAAGCACAAGAATTATGGAGGAATTTGAAAGAGAAAACTCCACTGATGAGTCTCTGCAATTATGCATTTTCCTATCCTCAGATTGTCAGACTGTTGCTCAGTGTGTTACTTCTGGATGGCCAGAAGCATGGAGATAAAACTGAGTGACATAACATGATCTGTAACTGCTTCCTGTCAGGGTAGTTTAACCCTTTGGAGATGCAGCCTTTTTGGAGTTTCAGTGCCAGAAAGACGAAGCCGTCTGGAGGGGATTCTTTTAGCTTATACACACAAAATTATAAACAAACAAGGCGTTTTAATTAATATATTCAAAAATTTACATATTCGTGTAGGAAATTGAATGAGCTAACATAAAATTTATGAATCAGACTGAAATCTCAATATTTATTTAAATTAACTATTCTGATTTGCATAATTTATGCAAGCATTTTTTAAAAATTTATGAGCAAACATGACTAATCTATAAAAAAAATTGTGAATTTTTTTTAAATGGATGAAGCTTGAATAAGTCCTAACAATTGTGTTTTGGGAACTAAGGCCCTTAGAGGCCCTTCAGACACTTCTTGCACATGGTTCTACTCATTTTGCAGCTATGTTTCTATTGCTGAGATGCAACAGTCCTTTTTTGCCATTGTTGGGTACAGGGGACCTCAGAAAAAAAATTGATGTAAAATTACTGAACACATCAACCTTTCTCACGGGCTGGACAACAACATCATCACTGTCATCAGAAGAATGTAAGTTAAGTGATTTTGTATATTTGTGCCTGTACATGTGTTTTTTATTTTTATATTTATGTAATGTGCTGATGAAGGCTGTGTAGCTGCAGCGTTCATTTTCTTTTTTGTGTTTGTGATATTGTGAAGCTTGCTGGTCTACTTTCTGTTTGTTTTTGTGATACTGTGAAGCTCGCTGGTCTACTTTCTATTTGTGTTTGTGATATTGTGAAGCTTGCTGGTCTACTTTCCGTCTGAGTTTGTGATATTGTGAAGCTCGCTGGTCTACTTTCTGTTTGTTTTTGTTATATTGTGAAGCTTGCTGGTCTACTTTCTGTCTATGTTTGTTATATTGTGAAGCTCGCTGGTCTACTTTCTGTTTGAGTTTGTTATATTGTGAAGCTCGCTGGTCTACTTTCTGTCTGTGTTTGTTATATTGTGAAGCTTGCTGGTCTACTTTATGTTTGTGTTTGTTATATTGTGAAGCTTGCTGGTCTACTTTCTGTTTGTTTTTGTGATACTGTAAAGCTCGCTGGTCTACTTTCTGTTTGTGTTTGTTTTATTGTGAAGCTCGCTGGTCTACTTTCTGTTTGTGTTATTGTGAAGCTCGCTGGTCTACTTTCTGTTAGTTTTTGTGATACTGTGAAGCTCGCTGGTCTACTTTCTATTTGTGTTTGTGATATTGTGAAGCTTGCTGGTCTACTTTCTGTCTGTGTTTGTGATATTGTGAAGCTCGCTGGTCTACTTTCTGTTTGTGTTTGTTATATTGTGAAGCTTGCTGGTCTACTTTCTATTTGCGTTTGTTATATTGTGAAGCTCGCTGGTCTACTTTCTGTCTGTGTTTGTTATATTGTGAAGCTCGCTGGTCTACATTCTGTTTGTGTTTGTTATATTGTGAAGCTCGCTGGTCTACTTTCTGTTTGTTTTTGTTATATTGTGAAGCTCGCTGGTCTACTTTCTGTCTATGTTTGTTATATTGTGAAGCTCGCTGGTCTACTTTCTGTCTGTGTTTGTTATATTGTGAAGCTCGCTGGTCTACTTTCTGTTTGTGTTTGTTATATTGTGAAGCTCGCTGGTCTACTTTCTGTTTGTGTTTGTTATATTGTGAAGCTCGCTGGTCTACTTTTTGTCTATGTTTGTTATATTGTGAAGCTCGCTGGTCTACTTTCTGTTTGTGTTTGTTATATTGTGAAGCTCGCTGGTCTACTTTCTGTCTGTGTTTGTTATATTGTGAAGCTTGCTGGTCTACTTTATGTTTGTGTTTGTTATATTGTGAAGCTTGCTGGTCTACTTTCTGTTTGTTTTTGTGATACTGTGAAGCTCACTGGTCTACTTTCTGTTTGTGTTTGTTATATTGTGAAGCTTGCTGGTCTACTTTCCATTTGTGTTTGTAATATTGTGAAGCTTGCTGGTCTACTTTATGTTTGTGTTTGTTATATTGTGAAGCTTGCTGGTCTTCTTTCTGTTTGTTTTTGTGATACTGTGAAGCTCGCTGGTCTACTTTCTGTTTGTGTTATTGTGAAGCTCGCTGGTCTACTTTCTGTTTGTTTTTGTGATACTGTGAAGCACGCTGGTCTACTTTCTGTTTTTGTTTGTTATATTGTGAAGCTCGCTGGTCTACTTTCTGTCTGTGTTTGTGATATTGTGAAGCTCGCTGGTCTACTTTCTGATTGTGTTTGTTATATTGTGAAGCTTGCTGGTCTACTTTCTGTTTGCGTTTGTTATATTGTGAAGCTCGCTGGTCTACTTTCTGTCTGTGTTTGTTATATTGTGAAGCTCGCTGGTCTACTTTCTGTTTGTGTTTGTTATATTGTGAAGCTCGCTGGTCTACTTTCTGTTTGTGTTTGTTATATTGTGAAGCTTGCTGGTCTACTTTCTGTCTATGTTTGTTATATTGTGAAGCTTGCTGGTCTACTTTCTGTTTGAGTTTGTTATATTGTGAAGCTCGCTGGTCTACTTTCTGTCTGTGTTTGTTATATTGTGAAGCTTGCTGGTCTACTTTATGTTTGTGTTTGTTATATTGTGAAGCTTGCTGGTCTACTTTCTGTTTGTTTTTGTGATACTGTAAAGCTCGCTGGTCTACTTTCTGTTTGTGTTTGTTTTATTGTGAAGCTCACTGGTCTACTTTCTGTTTGTGTTTGTTATATTGTGAAGCTTGCTGGTCTACTTTCTGTTTGTGTTTGTTATATTGTGAAGCTTGCTGGTCTACTTTCCATTTGTGTTTGTAATATTGTGAAGCTTGCTGGTCTACTTTCTGTTTGTGTTTGTTATATTGTGAAGCTCGCTGGTCTACTTTCTGTCTATATTTGTTATATTGTGAAGCTCGCTGGTCTACTTTCTGTTTGTTATATTGTGAAGCTTGCTGGTCTACTTTCCATTTGTGTTTGTAATATTGTGAAGCTTGCTGGTCTACTTTCTGTTTGTGTTTGTTATATTGTGAAGCTCACTGGTCTACTTTCTGTCTATATTTGTTATATTGTGAAGCTTGCTGGTCTACTTTCTGTTTGTGTTTGTTATATTGTGAAGCTCGCTGGTCTACTTTCTGTCTGTGTTTGTTATATTGTGAAGCTCGCTGGTCTACTTTCTGTCTATGTTTATTATATTGTGAAGCTTGCTGGTCTACTTTCTGCTTGTTTTTGTGATACTGTGAAGCTCGCTGGTCTACTTTCTGTTTGTGTTTGTTATATTGTGAAGCTTGCTGGTCTACTTTCTGTTTGTGTTTGTTATATTATGAAGCTTGCTGGTCTACTTTCTGTTTGTGTTTGTTATATTGTGAAGCTTGCTGGTCTACTTTCTGGTTGTTTTTGTTATATTGTGAAGCTTGCTGGTCTACTTTCTGTTTGTGTTTGTTATATTGTGAAGCTTGCTGGTCTACTTTCTGGTTGTGTTTATTATACTGTAAAGCTCACTGATCTACATTTTGGTTGCTTTTATATCTTTTCTGTGTAAAGAGGCTAGTAAGAGTATCCTTGTGCTATGATGCTGACCAATCGTATAACCCTAAACCTTAGAAGTCTGAGACATTCATAGCTTTCTCCGTGTTCAGCCGGGTGTTCTGAAGCATGATCATGTCTGCATCAAACATTTTTAATTTTTTTTAAGACTGGGCCTCTCTGTCGAACTTTCTGGCAGTTCCAGCAAAATATGCAAAGATGACCCTTGCCAAGACGTCTGACTTAGATTGGCTTTTGTGTGCACCAGCACATCTATTGCGTGGCCTTCTACTATTCTGTCCTCTCCTCCTTCTGTTCCTTGTCAGTGCTGCTGCATCAGATCTCAGCAGGGATACATGAACTCCCCAGCCCCTGTGAGGATCGAGTTTATGAAAACAATCTACCATATTTAGAGAATACGATGGTCGAGGTGTATTAACAGTCACCACAGTCGTGTCCTCGTGCAGAAAAGGGACAAGGGATGTAACATCCATTAGCCAGGTGTCTATCTGTGCGATCTTACTGACTTCATTAATGGCTGTGCCATGGCTGTTGACACCTCTGACAACAATCATCACAAACAAGACAATAAATACTGATCCCCGCTGGCACAACTTTGACAACAATTACCACAAACAACTAAACAAACATTGGTTCATGTTGATACCTCATAGACAACAACAATCTCTGACAACAACCATCACAAACCTCATAGACAACAACAATCTCTGACAACAATTACCACAAACAACTAAACAAACATTGGTTCATGTTGATACCTCATAGACAACAACAATCTCTGACAACAACCATCACAAACAACTAAACAAACATTGGTTCATGTTGAAACCTCATAGACAACAACAACCTCTGACAACAACCATCACAAACAACTTAACAAACATTGGTTCATGTTGATACCTCATAGACAACAACCGCCTCTGACAACAACCATCACAAACAACTTAACAAACATTGGTTCATGTTGATACCTCATAGACAACAACAACCTCTGACAACAACCATCACAAACAACTTAACAAACATTGGTTCATGTTGATACCTCATAGACAACAACAACCTCTGACAACAACCATCACAAACCTCATAGACAACAACAACCGCCTCTGACAACAACCATCACAAACCTCATAGACAACAACAATCTCTGACAACAACCATCACAAACAACTAAACAAACATTGGTTCATGTTGATACCTCATAGACAACAACAATCTCTGACAACAACCATCACAAACAACTAAACAAACATTGGTTCATGTTGATACCTCATAGACAACAACAATCTCTGACAACAACCATCACAAACAACTAAACAAACATTGGTTCATGTTGATACCTCATAGACAACAACCACCTCTGATAACACAGCTATCAATGATTCATGTTGACACCATGACAACACAAAAACTGGTGGCTCACATGACTCACCTCAAGGATCAGAGAAAGGCAGGCTGGGTAAAATGTCATGAATGCCAGGTAGTTAGCAATGACTGACAGGCAACCAAAGCAGCACAAGGTTTCCAGCTTCGGGACACCTGTCGGTCGATACACATAAGTCCAGGCAATCAACTTAAATGGTCAATTCATTAGAAGCTTGTCTTACTGTCTTCTGCTTGTAAAGGCAAGTTAAAAAAAAACAACCTAATCTGTAATGGATTGTAGAGTTGCTGTGATGGAACTCAAGTGGCAACCAATCAACAAGTACTTCCAGTGGCAACCAATCAACAAGTACTTCCAGTGACAACTAATGATGAGCAAAAAAAGCCAGGTATTGAAATGTAAGACTAGTGCTGTATTTTCTGCAGCTGAAGGTTTTATTAGCGAAGGTGTTGAACTTCACAATCCACAAACATTTCATTCAGAAAGTTTTCCCCACTCTGATGCTGCTGTCAGGCATGAATAAGAACAATAGAAAGAAGAAATATGTTTCATATCATTAAAGTGAGAAAATGTGTTCTACAAAATAAAAGGAACTATTTTAAACAATCAAACAAGTTAACGCCAATATCCAGCAAAAGAATGGAAGTGGAGGCGGTCACTGCAGCTTTCCGCTGGCTAGAGAACACAACACACACACACATGATGATTGTAACTAACTCAGAAAGTATGCTGAGGAAGGTGAGGACAGGCATGCTTCATGCAGAGTGGCATACATATATAAATACTTACATATTCATACATATACTCTCAAACATAGCTAAATACATTGATACATACACAAACATACCCGTACATTCATACAACATACATACATATAGACACTGATGCATACACACACGGTCATATATAAATAATCATGCACACGCACATACATGTATACATATTTTCAGACATAAAAACACTCATACACACACACACACATTTACATGCCTGCTCTTCCACTAATACATACAATTTCAAATATGCCCATACATACACAATAACCTAAACATTCACAAACAACCATTCATACACAAACACCCAAATTTACACAAATACCCATACACATAAACACTCATACATACACATACATACATGTTTGCCCATGCATACACACACTCACACATATCCATTCATTCACAAACACACATAAATACAAAAACACCTATACATACACAAAATCATACATGCACAAACACATTTACACATACACACACTCATGCTTTAGGGCTGCGTTAGCGCAATCGACAGGAGACTCAATTTCACATCCAGCTGCGACTCGCTGCAGCACATGGCCGGTGTTCGAAACCGGGCTGTTCCTGGGGTTCACCCAGCCTCTAGGTAATGGGTACCAGAGTCAACACTCTGGGGTAAATGAAGGAACATCGCTGTAGCTATGGAGTTGCGTACGGACGGCGCCACAGGCTGACAGTTTCTTATCAGCTGTCTGTACTGGTGGCAGAGCACTTATGGTTTATAACCGGGTGCAATGACGCTGACTCGCATCTCCCGACTTTACCTTACCTTTACACTCATGCATTCATATCACACATACATGCACAAGTACATATCCTACACACCTAGTTTATAAATTGATAATGCAGTATGGATGGAGAAATAGAAAGCCATAAGTGTGATGAAATGGTACAACAGGACAATGAATGCAAAATAAACTAGTAAAATCTCTTGGAACAAATACTTGTACACAGCGAACTAGAGTACACAGTGAACTAGTGTACACAGTGAACAAGAGTTCACAGTGAACTAGAGTACACAGCGAACTAGAGTACACATTGAACTAGAAAGGAATGTCAGCACAGTTGCTTACCAGACAGTGTACCAACTCCAATAGCTAGAGTCTCAACCAGAACATCCAGAGTGATGGCTGGACCAATGACGGCCATTCCTCGACCAATGTTCTTCTGGAGTTCATCCTGATTGGCAGCAGTCAAGGTGAATCTAGACAGAGCTCCCGTTTTGGACAGGTCGACAAGCAACAGAAAAAATGGCAGTGCTTCACTGTGGAACAAAGTCAGATCATTATTTCAATGAATACTTAGAAAAAAAAAAAAAAACAGCTATCAGATGGAAACACATAGTGAAATATCCCTGACCATGAAAAGGAGAAAGCCAGAGATGGATGGTGGGGGCACTGTGTTCAGATCTGGTGCTTTTCTACCCCCAGGGAGTGCTGATGTAGTGTATTTAGCTTCAAGGTTTGCTTCTTTAAATCTATGATGTGTAGCCAAGAGATCCCATCCTAAATGGATGGTAGAATCTGGGGCAGCATGTTGCTCTTCCCATACATGCCGGTCTTAGAATATATGAGGTTATGCTGGACCAATGGACTTGAACCACAGTGGACACTGTCAGAAAAATCACTTGTTGTGGGGTGAAGCTTCAGGGAGTCCAAATCCTGGGAGGCAACTGATGTTAAAAAAAAAAAATAAGCAATGACAAAAGACAATGTGCCACAAAGAGGAAGAAAAGAGTCACAGTGTCAAAGACTGTTCTGCAAGCAAGGACTTTTCATGAAAGGCTGACACATGTCAACAGATTCACATTTCTGCTTAGTGTTTAGCTATTTTGGTCTGCACTTTTGTACAGGAGTGAGTGGTAGACAGTAAGTGGTAGACAGTGAATGAGTGGTAGACAGCGAGTGGTAGACCGTGAGTAATAGACAGTGAGTGGTAAACAGTGAGTGGTAGACAGCGAGTGGTAGACAGACAGTTAATGGTGACCGTGAGTGGTAAACAGTGAGTGGTAGACAGCGAGTGGTAGACAGTAAGTGGTAGACAGTGAATGAGTGGTAGATGATGAGTGGTAGACAGTGAGTGGCAGACAGTGAATGAGTGGTAGACAGCGAGTGGTAGACAGTGAATGAGTGGTAGATGATGAGTGGTAGGCAGTGAGTGGTAGACAGACAGCGAGTGGTAGACAGTAAGTGGTAGACAGTGAATGAGTGGTAGATGATGAGTGGTAGACAGTGAGTGGGTGGTAGACAGCGAGTGGTAGACCGTGAGTAATAGACAGTGAGTGGTAAACAGTGAATGGTAGACAGTGAGTGGTAAACAGTGAATGGTAGACAGCGAGTGGTAGACAGCGAGTGGTAGACAGACAGTTAGTGGTGACCGTGAGTGGTAAACAGTGAGTGGTAGACAGTGAGTGGTAGACAGACAGCGAGTGGTAGACAGTAAGTGGTAGACAGTGAATGAGTGGTAGATGATGAGTGGTAGACAGTGAGTGGTAGACAGTGAGTGGGTGGTAGACAGCGAGTGGTAGACCGTGAGTAATAGACAGTGAGTGGTAAACAGTGAATGGTAGACAGCGAGTGGTAGACAGACAGTGAGTGGTAGACAGACATTGAGTGGTAGACAGACAGTTAGTGGTAGACAGACAGCGAGTGGTAGACAGCGAGTGGTAGACAGTAAGTGGTAGACAGTGAATGAGTGGTAGATGATGAGTGGTAGACAGTGAGTGGTAGACAGTAAGTGGTAGACAGTGAATGAGTGGTAGATGATGAGTGGTAGACAGTGAGTGGTAGACAGTGAGTGGGTGGTAGACAGCGAGTGGTAGACCGTGAGTTATAGACAGTTAGTGGTAAACAGTGAATGGTAGACAGCGAGTGGTAGACAGACAGTGAGTGGTAGACAGACAGTGAGTGGTAGACAGACAGTGAGTGGTAGACAGACAGTGAGTGGTAGACAGACAGTGAGTGGTAGACCGTGAGTGGTAGACAGTGAGTGGTAGACAGCGAGTGGTAGACAGTAAGTGGTAGACAGTAAGTGGTAGACAGTGAATGAGTGGTAGATGATGAGTGGTAGACAGTGAGTGGGTGGTAGACAGCGAGTGGTAGACCATGAGTAACAGACAGTGAGTGGTAAACAGTGAGTGGTAGACAGCTAGTGGTAGACAGCGAGTGAGTGGTAGACAGTGAGTGGTAGACAGCGAGTGGTAGACAGTAAGTGGTAGACAGTGAATGAGTGGTAGACCGTGAGTAATAGACAGTGAGTGGTAAACAGTGAATGGTAGACAGCGAGTGGTAGACAGACAGTGAGTGGTAGACAGACAGTGAGTGGTAGACAGTGAGTGGTAGACAGTGAGTGGTAGACCGTGAGTGGTGGAATGATGGACAATGTTGTCAAGTGACAGAAGGTGGGAGACACGGTTTTTGAGAAAAGTGTTTGAAGTACTGGGTGCTGCAAGAATGCTTGTCAAAAGTAAATAGATGATAATAAACACAGAGAATGACGTTATGTGGGGAAATGCTTGATAGGCACACAAGAAATGGACAGGTGATGACAAACAAAGGGACAGAGAGAGAAAAGTGCAAGAAGTTCAAATAGCTGAGCAACAAATAATTATGCAAACTTTTACAGATTTATCCAAATGTCAGATGACAGTGACGAATGGATCCCTGACATTCCACTTGTTGACAGATCTGTAAAATAATTCCCATTTCCACAATAAATACTCGATCATGTAAAAATGATAGTTTGACTCCAGTGTCATTATCCTCCATTACTGAAGAAAAAGTAGGGGAGAGGACGAAGAAAAAGCAAACAGTTGTTCAATGGGGAACTAGCAGAAAGGCTGACAGACTAGCGGTAAAATAATCCACAGATGTCAGCTACCAGATCTGGTAGCATGCAAGACAGCAAGCACAGAGATTACAGAAATAAAACAACTGTGACCATGGCAACTTACTTGAGTCCATTAAAGTCAAACCCCACCAGGTTGGCTATGGCAACTTACTTGAGTCCATTAAAGTCAAACCCCACCAGGTTGGCTATGGCAACTTACTTGAGTCCATTTAAGTCAAACCCCACCAGGTTGGCTATGGTAACTTACTTGAGTCCATTAAGTCAAACCCCACCAGGTTGGCTATGGCAACTTACTTGAGTCCATTAAAGTCAAACCCCACCAGGTTGGCTATGGCAACTTACTTGAGTCCATTAAAGTCAAACCCCACCAGGTTGGCTATGGCAACTTACTTGAGTCCATTAAAGTCAAACCCCACCAGGTTGGCTATGGCAACTTACTTGAGTCCATTAAAGTCAAACCCCACCAGGTTGGCTATGGTAACTTACTTGAGTCCATTAAAGTCAACCCCACCAGGTTGGGGCTATGGCAACTTACTTGAGTCCAGGTTGGCTATTGGCAACTTACTTGAGTCCATTAAAGTCAAACCCCACCAGGTTGGCTATGGCAACGCTGAAGATGAAGCTGGAGCATATTGTGAACACTCCCGCCAGTCCTGCAAGTGTCACATTGAAACAGGTCATAACTGCACCCACACAAGTTAACTTTTGCTTACATACTGTATACTAGTTAATGTTTGTTTACATACTGTATACAAGTTAACTTTCGCTTACATATTATATACTAGTTAATGTTTGTTTACATACTGTATACAAGTTAACTTTTGCTTACATACTGTATACTAGTTAATGTTTGCTTACATACTGTATACAAGTTAACTTTCGCTTACATATTATTTACAAGTTAACTTTTGCTTACATACTGTTTACTAGTTAATGTTTGCTTACATACTGTATACAAGTTAACTTTTGCTTACATACTGTATACTAGTTAATGTTTGCTTACATACTGTATACAAGTTAACTTTCGCTTACATATTATATACAAGTTAACTTTTGCTTACATACTGTTTACTAGTTAATGTTTGCTTACATACTGTATACAAGTTAACTTTTGCTTACATACTGTATACTAGTTAATGTTTGCTTACATACTGTATACTAGTTAATGTTTGTTTACATACTGTATACAAGTTAACTTTCGCTTACATATTATATACAAGATAAATTTTGCTTACATATTATATACAAGTTAACTTTTGCTTACATACTGTTTACTAGTTAATGTTTGCTTACATACTGTATACAAGTTAACTTTTGCTTACATACTGTTTACTAGTTAATGTTTGCTTACATACTGTATACAAGTTAACTTTTGCTTACATACTGTATACTAGTTAATGTTTGCTTACATACTGTATACTAGTTAATGTTTGTTTACATACTGTATACAAGTTAACTTTCGCTTACATATTATATACAAGATAAATTTTGCTTACATATTATATACAAGTTAACTTTTGCTTACATACTGTTTACTAGTTAATGTTTGCTTACATACTGTATACAAGTTAACTTTTGCTTACATACTGTTTACTAGTTAATGTTTGCTTACATACTGTATACAAGTTAACTTTTGCTTACATACTGTTTACTAGTTAATGTTTGCTTACATACTGTATACAAGTTAACTTTTGCTTACATACTGTTTACTAGTTAATGTTTGCTTACATACTGTATACAAGTTAACTTTTGCTTACATATTATATACAAGTTAACTTTTGCTTACATATTATATACACGTTAACTTTTGCCTACATATTATATACAAGATAAATTTTGCCTACATATTATATACAAGTTAACTTTTGCTTACATACTATATACAAGTTACCTTTTTCTGTCACAAAGCAGAAAACCTTATTTGACATAAATAAAATAAAAATGGGCAATAACGTATGCAAGTGTACTGATTGCTACATGCGATCTGTCCGAGGCATCGCACATTTGCCAAGTGTCTAGAGGATTTGTCTGCATCTGGGGCTAAGGCGTTAAGAATGCGCTTTGTAATGTCTGGGGTGCCGGCTTCGATCCCAGCTGTGGGCCATGCGCCTTGGGTTGGTTTCGACAGTGGTATCGAGAAGCCGACTGTCCAGAAAGTAATGGCAAACTACTGGACATAAACTTGCATAGAAAAACTACAACAGCAAAAAATTATGGGGTTGGTTCTGCTGTAAAGGTTACACAACTAACTAACTTAGGGATTTGTTTGTGCTTCGCCCATACAGACAAAAGTTCTCGAATCAACAACGCGCTACAAACACTAAAATCCCAATGTTAACACCAATACACTACAAGTCATCTCTGTAACAGTGCATCAATTTCTTTATAATGGATGAAAGAGGTAACTGTCAGAGGCCAGTTCGAGTTCACTCAGCCGACACGGAGTGCTGCGGATTAAGCCATGAACTGGGGGGGGGGGGGGGGGGGGGGGGTCCAAGCGGGTTTGGGGGGGGGGGGGGGGGGCTGGGAGACGTACAGGAGGGGGACGACAGGAGGGGGAGACAGAGAAGAAAGGATGACGACGAGGGAACGTTAGGTTAGCGATGGTTAGGTACAAATAGGATATTCGTATTTAGTGTCTATGATAGGCTGTATTTCTATTTAATGTTTCGTCTAGGTAGTATAGAGAGTTAAGGTTCTTTGTGTAGTAGACATTCCATGCAGTATTTGTTTGAACAGTTAATCAAGGTGACCGCAGACCGCTGCTACCAGTTAATTTCAAGAACCACTCGTCTCACGCATCAAGTAGCATGGACTTTTCGTACTCATCTCTGTCATCATCATCATCTGGCGCCTTTATGACTGGCATAGACAATCACGCCTCTGACCTCTGGTACAACTGAACAGCAAAATGAGTTCAGCACACAACACTGATGATGATGAATGTGCCAACTCAGATCTATTTCTGATCCTGTTCTAAAACGTGGATAAAGCAGATATGAAGATCTGCAATTAAACAGAAAGGCAAAAGAAAGAAAAACCAAGGAACAGAATGATCTGGAAACTTCATGACCAGTTCAAAGGCTGAAATGATGATGATGAATGTCCCATAAGGGCCCATAAACACCATGTAGTTGCATTCTTCTGTAACTGACAGCCAGCTCCAATGAGTTCCACATGTGACAACCTGTGTTAGTGTGAGAGTTGGTTAGTGGATAGCAGGTTATAACTTCTGGAAATGAGGGCCAGGGCACTGGCATCAGTTTGCCTGTTGTACCTATTGGAGGCAGGTAAGTCTAGAGACTTTAGTCTTGACCTGGTAGCAAAGTACAATCTCCAAGGGCACTGTGTTGCAGAGTTCTACTTCCTCTCAGTGTGTAATATCTATGAATGGACCCATTTAGGACCCAGTGCCACACCAGGCATATGATGCCAGACTCAAACTGAAAGAGATAAATCAGCACAGTGATACAGTCAACATCACGCCTGCCCCTCTTAATTGCCTACACATTACCTGGTACACATTTGATGCTGCGTTGATGTTAGAGCCAAGTTCAGTAATGAAAACAAAACTCCAGTTCAAAGTGCTTCGAATCCATGACCTTCAGGCAAGTAGGTGAGCGTCTCACTACTATGCTACACTATCATGGACTTCCATTTGTTGTGGTAAGCCAGAGTAAATGTGATAATAGTTACTAAGACTGTGCCACTTCTGGAGTCAAAATAATATAAACTGGTACCCACTCAAGGCTGGGCAACCTGGGAGCCAATGTCCTTTTTGAAAAATACCAGCTCCGCCAGGAAGCGAACTTGTGACCTTTCAATCCGCGGCGAGCATCTAGCCGCTCCGCCATAAGGACTCTCGCTCTCGGAGTAATAGTACAAATATTGAACTGACAAGAACTTTCTGAACTTTCACACTGTTTGTTTCACAACAGATCGTTCTTTCCAAAATAACCCAGCCCTGGCGGGCACCAGGTAAAGCCCTGGGAAGTAAAGGTGGCTGGCGTGATGCTGACCACATCACCAACCGTGTGCCAAGTGGTCAATAAAATACAGGTCTAGCATTATGTGCCCTATGTGCCTAATGGCACGGAAAAGGGTTGTTCACATTACTTGTTTACTTATTTATCAAGTACAACAGCACAGACTGTTGGTGAGGTTCACAGACAGTAGACAACAATCAGACAGCAGACAACAATGATAAAACAAACCAAGTAAATATTTGGATCCAAGTTTGCGTAGATTCCTAAACTGAAAATAAATGTAGATGACGGCCAGATATCTTGTGAGTGACAGAATAACCACATCAGAAATTTTTGTCTCCTGAAAAGAAAAAACCAACAATGATTTAAATATAACATGAAGACAACATTAACTCATATTTCGGTTTGTTTCACCTTCCTTCCTTTTCTTAGCCATCTCTTCCCCTTTCAGCTATAGTTCTCTTTGAGTTTTATGGGGGTTTAGCATTAGAGGCTCACTGGGTGTTAATGCAATTTTGTAATGTCACAAGTGTAAAACATTAAAACAGACCATACTAATTCAACTGCCGCACAACATAGACATATTATTACATCAAAGTTATCAGGGACTGTTGAGCAATAAAATTAGAATACTGCTACAAAAATGAACTGTTTTACTTGTTAATTATTAGTTTAAAAAAACAGATGCTATGTTTAGACAAATTAGCAAAATGAAATAATAGTTTTTCCACTTATCAACGTGGCCCTCAAGGAAAACTACATAAAAAAAAAAAATACAGTAAAATATAATCACAAGCTGTCCATTTAATCTCATTTCAGAAAAACTTTTACAATTTCATAACAGAGCACTATTTGTTGGTAAAGAAAAATGACTTCCGAGAAATATTATTATTTTCACAAAAAATGAACTTTATAAAACACTCAGTTTGCCCATAATTTTATAGCCTAAATTCCTAAATAATGAGGGAATTGCACTAGACCTAACTGACATTGAAAAATACAAGGTCTAACAATTAAGTAATGAGACAGATTTTATTATGGCTAAGACAAAAATGTCATTTATGATTTACATCATGGAATCCTAAGAGGCAAAATTTGTCTATAATCTGGCAACTTTTCATCGCTGCCTAATAAGCAGACAACAAACAAGCCACCATTTTGTTAACCTAGTCAAAGGTACATTCTTACGTAATCAGCATGGAGTTTTTCAAAAAAGCTATTTTAAATTCTGTTTAAAACTCAGAAAAAGCGCCATTGCAACAGTTGAATTGATGCGACAATTTTATGGGGATAATTGTTTATCTCGTGCACAGATTTTCAGCTGGTATTCACGATTCAAAAGTGATGTGGAAATGATTACTAATGCAACTAGACCTGGATGACCAATTTCTGTTCGTAATGAGGAACTCGTTGCAAAATTATGAGAACGGATACAAGAAAATCGTTGTTTGACTCTGAGGATGATGGTAGATGAATTTGGTGTTAACAGGGAGACTATTCGTAAAACATTTTATGCTTTCAACCACATTTCCAAATAAGCACAATGGTCAACACGATGTCAAATCGAACGCAAAGAACAAGAACAAGAAATACCATTCAAAACTGCCAGTTTGCATTGTTATACTAGCCGGCGGTAAATTAAAAACCAGTATGCATCACCTGCTGATTGGTCGCCTGAGTAGTAACTGATTAGTGTGAGATGCATTCCTTGGGACTCAAAGAGTTAATGAAAAACATTAGCATTGTGTGCATTACTTCCCTGCGCGAGTTTCTGGGCCCCATTATGGGGTAAACAAGAACAGACCCACTGTCTCCCCAACAAGCATGTCTTAAGAGTCGACTAACTCGGGGCTTCCTTTGAAGTCAGAGTGCATCTGCCTGAGCAGCAAGGAACAACCAAATGCATACAAATAAACCAGTAAAATGGATGTACACGCAACACTCAGGCACTGGCTCAAAGCCAAAGTCCAAATGGACAAACAACCAGAACTTTCCACCGGAGCTTACAGCCAGTGAACAAACAAGAAGAAGGAGTGCACTGCTATTGGGTTTGAGCAAACATGCGTTTTCTTATCTTACATCTCCAAAAATATGCATCAATATGTGTGCTGACACCACTCCATGCCATGAACAAAAACTAAGAACCATTCCTTTTTGTCTTTGTCTATCTTTCCACAAATATTCCAACTGTCCGATCTTCTAGTTTTTCTCCTTTTAAAACAAAGGACAAATCAGGGAGCATCTTTCCAGTGCTGTATTTGTGTCCTAAAACATTTCAATATACTTATTTTTACATGATTCTGAGGGCATGCATCTTCTTGTCTGTAGCAACATGCAAAGATGGGCACAGAACACAAGTGACACCATGGGTAGGAAAGTGCATGAGGCAGGAGAGCCGGTGAGAGACTTTCAGGCAGGCAGGCTGTGATGAGAGTGATGAGTGTGAGGTTTTCCAACGGACCTGCTGCTATATGATAATATTATTTAAAAAAAAAAACACTCTTTTTTCTCAGAATAATCATTTCTCAGAGGCCTCAAGATACTTTTTTTTTCTGTTTTGATGCAAGAGCTAAAGCGGCTCAACTGTTGAGGCCATGCTAGTTACTGGAATGACAGGCTGAGTGTCTGGCTTTCAGAAGGGATTACAAGACTAAGAGCAGCATGATGCTGTCTACACATAATTGTCTGTTGCATAAGGAAGCAGAAATCCATGCCTACATGTGTCTACATCTGATGGAATCAGCAATCCATTGTGCCACTAACAGGAACGTGTCATGGTGGCAGGTCAAGCAGATGTAAGCATTCAGGATGAAGCAGAGATGAGTGTAACAGGCTGCTCACTAGAACTATATATAAGTATCCATACTCTTTGATATCCTCTGAGAGAGATGGAGTCTTTATGGGCATATCCGTTCTTGTGACATCAATGTTTTGATAATTCGTTCTTGTGACATCAATGTTTTGATAATTCACAACAACTTGTTCTCTCATTTACTGACAGAACAAGCATTCAATAAGTGTTAATACCGAACATATCTATTCATGTTCTTCATCATTTAAACCCATGATGTTCACTGCTTCAGATATTACCCACCTCGATTTATCTCTCTCATTAAACTTCTTTCTTTTTTTTTCTTTTCAGTTTGTCGGCTCCGAGTGTAGGTAGATCTGCATGCATATTATTTCTCCACATTCTACCTGGTCTGCCTCGAGGTCTACTACTATCTAATTCTAAACTTATCTATAGTTTAAAAAAATGGTGGCATCACCTGGTCACTGGTGCAGGCGTGGTTCCAGCCACAGGCGTTTCGGTTGGTGGCCCAGAGGCTCATGGACATCAGGGAGGTGGTAACAGTGACTGTGGCAATGAGGACTTCCCACGGATGACCCGCACACAGTTGCCCATGGGCATCAAACAATCGAGATAACATCACAGCTGTAATTGAATAAGAAAGACAATATAGACATTAATCAAACAGATGGCGTAAAAAAGTGGAACATTTACACATGTATAAAATAACATAATAACAACAGAGTATATGTGGGAAACATTAAATGACACATAAATAATAAAGCAGATATTCTAGGAAACATGCAAATTAAAAATAATAATTAAAGTAAAAAAAAATTATTATAATAATGGGGTAAAAAAAAAAAGTTAAGGGCCCCTTCCCATCAGTGGCACATCAGGCATATGATGTTAAACTCACATTATTGACATGAATCGGTATTTAACAGGTGATGTTATGTTATCACAATAAGTGTCTTAGCACATTAGGCCTCTCCAAGTGTGATCAGACCTCCCATGCAGCAGCCACTACAAGGTATTTTACATCTACTGATTGTTCCCATGAGAAGTTGGTTATAGTATCTCCTGTATATAGTACCTGATACTACAATAGATGAATGCAAAAGCGATAAGATAAAATAAATGAAAATTTTTACCTCACTTTACTGCTTTGAAAAGTAGCTGACTGCCTCCTAGGATGGGACTGAGAAGGGAGGAGGAGGAGATGTTATTGTTTGGATGGAGATGTTATTGTTTGGGTGGAGAGTCTCTTTCCAATAAAACTTTAGGAATCTGAAATTCAAAGTTCTTTTTATGGTCATGTGATGAGAAAAGAAACACTGAAAAATGTTGTGAAGACTGGAAAGATCACTGGTAGAAGAGGCAGACCAAGAGAAACGATGGAGGATGGCTTAAGACAGTGCCATGGAAGTATATCATATCATCATGAACGCCTATGGCAGCTGGCAAGGCAATGATGGTAATGATGATGATTTTTTTTCCTTTCTGTTTTTTACGTTACTTGTACCTGGTTGAGGCACAACAGGTTTGACTTTTACTAAAAACCTGTCCGTGAGGTTGTCTCTAGAGAGGTAAACAAAGATAGTGCTTAGTGTTAGTGTTATGCCTAATCTGCACTCATAAAGTTCTAGAAAGCTTGTCATATTCCAAACAAAGATTGTATACCGAGCAACAGATTTCGCACCTAATCAGTATGTAGGCCTACACCAAGTTAAAGATACACCAAAGAGACTGTCTGATTCACTGATGAAGATACCCCTACTGTATTTATATATTTAAAAACTATCGGCTTTCTTCTGAATAACGGTCCCAAGGTCGAAAATATACCCTAACAGGGCCTCAGTCACATGTAAATTGCAGACTTCCTGCGACCTAAAATGCGCACTTCCGGCAACTACCGCCACCCCCGAGAGTATTTCCCATGCTGCTATGTGCGGCATGGATTGGGGCTAAACTAGATGGCTGGGACTCACGAGCAACAACTACCGCATCTCCTGCAGCTTCCTTCATTTTATTTGCTTGTGAGTCAGTCCCGGCCATCTAGTTTAGCCCCACTCCACGTCGCGTCTAGCGGCGTGCGAGATATTCTCGGCGGTGTCGGAAGTTCACAATTTACATGTGACTGAGGCCCTGTTAGGGTATATTTTGGGCCTCGAAATTTGGGAGCGTTATTAGGAAGATAGCCACACTTTCTCTTAAAAACAATATATCTAGGTTAAGAATTGACGAAGACGCATGAATGAGGTAAGGCTGAATTTCAATTTTCAGCTCCAATCTAGTTATGCTAGTTGCATTATTTTAAAACCATTCAGAAGAACTGCTTAAGTACGGAAACCGAAATCGTCAGTACCTTGTTAAACAAGTTGAACTTCAACTTCAACTTGTTCCAGTAAAAAAAATACTAAATAGTGACCTGTGGCAGCCAAAAGCTGAACCTGTAATTCTGTAATGGCGTGGACTCATGCTGGATTTAGAGTCATTTTAGAATCAATAAATGCAGACTTGACTAGTGTAAATAATATTGCACGTTAAGACGTAAAAATCGTCGAAACGATTCAGTCAAGGACTCAGTAAAGATGTAAACACAAGGAGGCCATGTTTGTTGATGTCTCCGACTTCCGGTGTAAACATGACCCTGACCCTCGCTCTGTGATGAATTTCAACTTGATCCCACATCTATCAACTACAAGTACAACTGTTATAACAACAACGGGTACAACCACTACCACCACTACAACTACTACCGCAACCACCAATATTACTACTACTAATACTGCAACTAACTTTTGAATGCGAGAGTTGGAAAGCAACATTAGCACCTGTTTAACAATTTTGAGAACAGTTGTGATTGTGTGTTTTTAATCTTCTGTTTGTCATCATCATCACGATCAGGTGCCTTGCCGACTTTCAATGACAATGATATATTGCACAAGATATTCTTCATTTTATAAAATGCAGTTTTTGCCTGTCCTATTCTGTTTCTTATCTCAGTTATGCAGCTTCCATCTGATGTTATCCATGTGCCCAGATACTTAAATTTCTGTACTTGTCCTAAAATAACACCATCGCCTTTTATTACACATTTAGGAATAATTAGTTTCTTTGATACCACCATTATTTCTGTCTACCCATTATTTAAGCTGAGGCCCATTCTTCCACTTTCTAACACCACAATGTCTATCATTTCCTGTAGTTCTTTCTGACTTGTTGCTATCAAGACTGTGTCACCAGCATAACGTAAATTGTTTATATTGTGCCCACCAACCACAATTCCGGGCATATCAATTAAAGATCTTATTATATATTCACTGTATATTGAAAACAAATCAGGTGATAGTATAAACCCTTGTCGTACGCCCATCTTTATGCTTTGAAATGTACCTAAACAGTTTTTAATTCCTATAGCTGCTATTTGCTGCCAATACATATTTTTTATTGTTCAAATCTTTTCCACCATTGTTTAATTTTTCTAACAGTTTGATTACTTCTTCACGTTTCACACAGTCAAATGCTTTTGTATAGTTTATGAAGTGAAATTCAAATCAGTCTTTACTTCTATAGCTCTTTCTGACAATGTCCTTAGGATGTATATGGCATTGTTTATACCTTTTCCTTCTACAAATCCACATTGTTCATCGATGATTTCTTGTTTAATTTTGTTTCTTTTTCTTCTCATAATTATTCTCAGTAAAATCTTAGTCATGTGACTCATGAAACTTATTGTGCGATGGTCTTCACATTTTAAAGTGCCTGGTTTTAATATGGATTTTAAAAAGTCATATGGAATATACCCTCTATTATAAATATGATTTAAACGTTTAATTATTATTTCAATTCCAAAATCTCCCAGTGCTTAATTTTCTTCCAGTGAGATGTTGTCTGGCCCGGGTGCTTTTCCTTTCTTCATATGATGTATTGCATCCTCAACTTCTGCAGTCATTATTGGTGGACCATCATTGTTGGTCTGCAGTTCTACATCTGGTCTATTATCATAATTCAATTCCCCTATATACCCTGTCCATCTGCTATTTATATTACTATGTCCCATTAATAAGTCACCATCTTTTGATTTTAAACATCCAGTACTGTTACGTGTCATCTTTCCTGTTAACATATATATCTGTTGGTACATGGGATGTGAGTCTTTCCTGTGATTTCCCCCAATCTCTGTACACATTTGATTTAGCCAGGCTTCTTTAGCCACTTTGCATTTGTTCACTATTTCTTTTTCTATTCTTGAGCATTCCTCTTGATCATTCCTTTTCTCCCTTCTTTCACTCATCAACTGCAGAATATCGGTTGACATCCATTTTTTTTTTTGCAACACTATGGGTTGGTGGGATTGTCTCTTTTGATGTCTGCTGAACTGACTCACGGAGGAGCACATTGGGGAGGATACTAGCCTTATCCTAGGAAGAGGAAATGCAACCTGAAAACTTTGTATTATGGCAGGGCAGACCAGGCCCTTCGCTTTGGCTGGCAGCTGGTCTAGGAGGGAAGCTCTGATAGGCGGACATATAGAGCACTGCTCTTCTGACCCGGCAGCTTCTGCAACCTGCCTCGTTCCAAACGAACTGGTTTTACCTTTCCTTTGGAGTAAACAAGGCAGGTCAGGGGGGGGGGGGAATAATTATGCATGGGCAACATTTGGTCTCTACAATACTGCCCAGGCTTTGTGCTATGGAGAGGAGGAACTTCATCCCTGGCCCTAATCGGTCTCGGAAACAAATTGAGAGGCAGCAGTTACGGGTTATAAGTCCTTGTCAGTTGGCGTAGACAGGGGCGCCACGGGTTGCCTCTGATGGTGGGAGGCATCTTCGAATATCACTGATCAACTACCGCCCGCCTTAACTGGGCAGCCTCCAGCCAATAAGGTGTTGATCCGCCACAGCTTGTATGCTTCAATGGGTGCTTGGAGCTAGGACAAAATCCGAACTGCAGGCTGTAAAACCGATGCACCAGGCAATAAAAAGAAACATAACCCCAAGCTTCGACCTGGCTCTTTGAACGTGAGGACCATGTGTCCAGGGTTTTCCACTGACCTGGAAAACATTAATAATGTGAGAAAAACGGCTATCATTGATGCCGAACTCAAAGAACTTCACATAGATATTGCTGGCCTACAGGAAACCCGTCTGCCAAATGATAGGTCTAATAGAGAAAATAACTATACATTTTTCTGGAAAGGCAGAGGCCAGGAAGAAATCAGGATGTATGGAGTGGGATTTGCAGTAAAGAATTCATTGTTAGGATTAGTTGAAAGTCCAACTGGAGGAAGTGACAGAATATTATCCCTACGATTGTCTACCTCAAGCGGTTTCATTACCCTTGTTACTGCATATGCGTCCATTCTAAGGTCAGCACAAGACGCAAAGGACTTTTTTGAGGAACTGGATAACGCAGTGAAATCAATTTCTAAATCTGACAGCTTCTATATACTTGGTGATTTTAATGCTCGCGTATGGTCAGACTCAAACTCATGGCCAGTTTGTCTTGGAAAATATAAAGTTGGCCACATGAATGAAAATGGGCAGAGACTACTGCAATTCTGCACTAGAAGTGACTTGTGCATCACAAACTCCTTTTTCAAAACTAAAGACCGGTGTCATGGAAACATCCAAG